CCATACACTCATCACACCCATACATCAGTCTTGCTCCATGGTGGCTGCTCAGCAGCAGATTCTCACCAGGCCATTTTCACTCCCTTGAAGACCCCTTTACACTGTCAAAGTGGTGTAAAAGCACCTGAGGGTGGCTGAGAACCAGGCCCTATATCCGGACAGGCCTGCTGCTCTACAATTTGTATGAGATCTTACATACGTTCTAACTTGAAAGTTAACCAATTCATTCGATTCGAATACAAATCCTGATTTCATAGTCCCTCAGTCACAAAGTCCCCCAGGATCCTGCAAAGGGACACACCTAAGCAGACCCTTCGGAGCGCGCACTGGGAGCTCAGCCAGTTGCATGAACAGGGCCACCGACTACGTTTGGAGCTGAAAATAGAAGCACATTTCCTACTACAGTAGCCAAAAAACCCCTCAGACCTCTTTGTGGTTAAAAGCTCTTTTCAGACTTCTACTAACCCCATCCCTAAAACTAAAACTATAAACAAACCCCCCATAGCGGAGGGAACACATGAATGAACTCTTATCAGCCAGGCATCTAAATGATGAAAACCCCAGGGCAATTGTGTGTAATTGATGCCACAAAACAGATGTAATTAATTTGCACTTGTTGGAGATTGAGTAAAAAGAAAAGGAGTACTTGTGGCACCTTAGAGACTAACCAATTTATTTGAGCATGAGCTTTCGTGAGCTACAGCTCACTTCATCGGATGCATACCGTGGAAACTGCAGCAGACTTTATATATACACAGAGAATATGAAACAATACCTCCTCCCACCCCACTGTCCTGCTGGTAATAGCTTATCTAAAGTGATCATCAGGTGGGCCATTTCCAGCACAAATCCAGGTTTTCTCACCCTCCACCCCCCCACACAAATTCACTCTCCTGCTGGTGCTAGCCCATCCAAAGTGACAACTCTTTACATAATCAAGTCGGGCTTGATTATGTAAAGATTGAGTGTCCACAAGGAAATGGTAGGGGAACACAATCAAGTACAGTACTTGCGCTTGTTGCTCCAGCCTGTCCCTGCTCCTCACATTAAGATAACATTGAACATGTCCTTCAAAAGAAGTGTGATTGGGGCAGCTAATGTACAAAGGTGGAGGGTGGGAGGGGAGATCAAATATAATCAGTTTTCCTTTTCAGTGTCTAATAAATGTTGTTTTCAAGCATCTGCCAGGTTATCTTTCTAATTTTGCTCCTGATTTAAGCCCTCTTTCCTAATGGGGCTGAAATGAACATGGCTTTTCCCATTCATGCACGAGGAGAACCGCATGTGCATTAGATATTTGTTTCTGCAGCACTAATGTCAGGTTATTATGCTGTCTAAATTGTTTCCACAGCAATAGAATTTTTAAAACACCACAGCCATGTAGTTCCACACGACTGCTGCTGAGAGAGTAAATGAAATTAACGTTTGTTTGTTTCATCGACATGGCATGGCTTGTGGTGACCTAGACTTTAAGCTCTTTAAGGCAGGGCCTGTCTTTCTACTAAGGCAAAGGTCCCCAAACTGTGGGGTGTACCTCCTAGAGGGGTGTGCATAAATGTCTAGTAGGGATACAGCGGGGCCTGGGCCAGCCCCTATGGGGAGCGGAGAGGGAGTGCCACCCAGCCCCTTCCCCAGCTCTGCTCTGGTCCCACCCCCAGACATATCCCCATCTTTGGCTGCTGGCCACGGCTCCATTCTCAGCTGGGGGTGGGGCTGGGAGCAGAGCCACACCTGGCCACAGGCCCAGTTGCCGCTCTGCTCCCGTCCCCAGCCTCACCCCCTTTACCCTGTCTGCATTGTCATCCCCCCCCAGACCTGGCTCTGGGGGCACAGACAGGGGTAAGGGCGGGGGCATGATCCTCAAAAGTTTGGGCACCACTCTACTAAGGGTTTGCACAGTCCTTATTTCTAGACTATTGGGGCTGTTTGTAGCTACTGTAATACAAATAATTCATAGATTTTAAAACCAGAAGAGATCCATGGGTCCAGATCTAATGCATTCAAGGGTGGTGAGGGAGCTGGCTGATGTGATTGCAGAGCCATTGGCCATTATCCATTGGCCATTATCTTTGAAAACTTGTGGCGATTGGGGGAGGTCCCGGACAATTGCCCATCTTTAAAAAAAGGGAAGGAGAAGCTGGGGAACTACAGACCAGTCAGCCTCACCTCAGTCCCTGGAAAAATCATGGAGCAGGTCCTCAAGGAAACCATTTTGAAGCACTTGGAGGAGAGGAAGGTGATCAGGGACAGTCAACATAGATTCACCAAGGGCAAGTCATGACTGACCAACCTAATTGCCTTCTGTGATGAGATAACTGGCTCTGTGGATATGGGGGAAGCAGTGGAGGGGATATATCTTGACTTTAGCAAAGCTTTGGATATGGTCTCCCACAGTATTCTTGCCAGCAAGTTAAAAAAATATGGATTAGATGAATGGACTATAAGGTGGATAGAAAACTGGATAGATTGTTGGGCTCAACGGGTAGCGATCAACAGCTCGATGTCTAGCTGGCAGCCGGTATCAAGCGGAGTGCCCCAGGGGTCAGTTTTGTTCAACATCTTTATTAATGATCTGGATGATGGGATGGATTGCACCCTCAGCAAGTTCGCGGATGACACTAAGCTGGGGAGAGAGGTAGATATGCTGGAGGGTAGGGATAGGGTCCAGAGTGACCTAGACAAATTGGAGGATTGGGCCAAAGAAATCTAATGAGGTTCAGCAAGGACAAGTGCAGAGTCCCGCACTTAGGACCGAAGAATCCCAGGCACCGCCACAGGCTGGGGATTGACTGGCTAAGCAGCAGTTCTGCAGGAAAGGACCTGGGGATTACAGTGGATGAGAAGCTGGATATGAGTCAGCAGTGTGCCCTTGTTGCCAAGAAGGCTAATGGCATATTGGGCTTCATTAGTAGGAGCATTGCCAGCAGATTGAGGGAAGTGATTATTCCCCTCTATTCGGCACTGGTAAGGCCACATCTGGAGTATTGCGTCCAGTTTTGGGCCCCCCACTCCAGGAGGGATGTGGACAAATTGGAGAGAGTCCAGCAGAGGGCAACGAAAATTATCAGGGGGCTGGGGCACATGACTTATGAGGAGAGGCTCAGGGAACTGGGCTTGTTTAGTCTGCAGAAGAGAAGAATGAGGGGGGATTTGATAGCATCCTTCAACTACCTGAGGGGGGTTCCAAAGAGGAGGGAGCTTGGCTGTTCCCAGTGGTGGCAGATGACAGAACAAGGAGCCATGGTCTCAAGTGGCCAGTGGGGGAGGTCTAGGTTGGATATTAGGAAACACTATTTCACAAGGAGGGTGATGAAGCACTGGAATGGGTTCCCTAGGGAGATGGTGGAATCTCCATCCTTAGAGGTTTTTAAGGCCCAGCTTGACAAAGCCCTGGCTGGGGTGATTTAGTTGGTGTTGGTCCTGCTTTGAGCAGGGGGTTGGACTGGATGACCTCCTGAGGTCTCTTCCAATCCTAATCTCCTATGATTCTATGATTAGATCTAGTCTGACCTCCTCTAGAACATATGCAGGCTAAGAATTTCGCCCACTAACCTCCTGTATTGAGCCCAGCAACTTGTGTTTGACTAAAGCATGTTCCAAAATAGCATCCAGTCTTGATGTGAAGCCATTAACAGATGGAGGCTCCTTGAGAGTTTGCTTCAATGGTTAGTCACCCTCACTGTTAACAATGCATGCCTTACTTCTTAATTGACTTTGTCTGGCTTTTAACAGCCAGCCAATGGGTTTTCCTTAGGCCTTTCTCTGCTAGATTAAAGAGCCCTGAAGTATCTGGTATTTTCTCCCTTTGAAGGTTCTTACACATGGCAATCTAGTCACTTAATAAAAGAGGAAAGAGCTTTCTGAAGATTTAAAGAGATTTTACCAAAACTTTTTGTACAAAATTAAGAGAATCGTTATTTACAATACAGCTGCTAGTTCAAGGACACCCCTACTGCTTGTATCATCCCAGGGCAGTAATGTCCTTCTGTCACTTTCTCTGTTCCTCTGAAACAGGGAGAAATGCTCTCCATCATTAAAATATTGATACTTTACACTGATAAAAAGCCTTTCACTAGAGGATCAAAGTGATTTATAAAGGGTAAAATAAAGATAATTCTATCTTTTCCTTTCAGCTTAGAGCTCAAAGAAAACAAAATCAATACAGGCAAAACAAAGAAGGATGAGTATCTCACTGCTCTTGGGCAGCACTGAGTGGTTCCTCTGTGATGGCCAGATAAGGAAGAGCATTGTGTACTCTTCTTAAGGTTTCAGAGGGCTGACTCTGGTCCGAATTCCCAGAGGTGTCTAAAATGGGAAGGCTGCTCTAAGCCGTTTCCCCACCTAGTGCACATTGTTCCCTTTTCCCCCTGCAAGAGGAGCTTTCATGAGTAGCTGAGTGGCATTCTCCTCCAAAGTCCCCCACAGAGGCAGTTTTTGATCCAACGCTGCTCCCACTGTTTCACTGCTGTGGTTTTGTTGGGTGATTTCAGCATGGTTACGCAGCCACATCTGAGAGAGACACGAACACAGAAAACGGGTCATCTGAAATGCAAGCTGGCACTACTGAGGGACTTTATGGATCAGGTTGGGATGGAGAAATCATGGGAGGGAATTAGCTTTTTGTCCTTTCCAGGTGATGTTTGGGAGAATCAAAGGAAAATGGAAAAGGTGTTGGAAATGATTGCCAATGAAGAGGGGATATCAGAGGAACACAAAGCTGTCTTCAAGATGATGGCCCCTGGCTGCTATTTATATGTAAAGCAGCAAACACACCAGCCTTGTGAAAACAATCTGGTATGTTTCAGAGTTCCGGTATGGTGACTTTCTATTAAAGCCAACATTTAAGACCAATTTAATCATCTGATCAGATGGCTGGTCGTTCACTGCACTGTCATTGCATAATCCAGGCTCATTATTAGGAGAGAAGTGAGAGAAAGGTGTGTGACACTACACCTCATATTCTTCACAGCAATATTGTTTATATATATATATATATATATATATGATTACGGCATAATTATGATGTATTTTAGACAAGATAAGTCATGTGACATATCATTGGGAAGGTTATGATTTACTGAATACGATTCTCCTATTTGTATGCATGGATCATTTTCGTATCTGAAGCTAGGAATATTGCCTATGCATCTATTACAAGGTTGTTTATACCTGAGGAACACGCACTAGGCAGAATGCAATCAGTCTAGGGCCTTGTCTACACTACCAAGTTTTGTCACCAAAAACTGCCTTTTGGTGACAAAACAGCAAGAGCATACACACTACAACGGGACTTTTAATCATGAAAAACGCCCCGTTTTGGTGACAAAAAACTTCACCCCATGAGAGTTTTGTCTTTTCCCCTCCCTTTATTGAGGGGAAAGAGCCAGTGTAGACACTGCTGATTGTTTTGTCCACAGAACTGGCTTCCACCAGTATCCCACAATGCCTGCCCCGATTGCTCTGCTCCGTGTTTTGATTTCCACTGCCCTGCAGGCATGCGTCCCTCCTCTTTCAAAGCTCCGGGAAGTATCTGTGTGCTGTGCTGTCTCGGGAACAAAGAAAGAGCAAATCATTGGCATGCTCCTGGTCTGCCCTGCACTAGGCAGGCAGCAGCAGGCAACCTGCTGCTGCAGGGGCAAGGGGACAGACTGCTGGGCTGCTTTGCCATTTCTCGACATGGAGAGCTCACAGAGCTACTCAGGATGCTGCTCTCGGCAGCTGAGGGGGCTGTGGGAGAACTTGGAGAGAATCCCAAGATGCGCAGCGATCAGCTCTTTCTTCCCACAACACTGCACTGTGGGATACGTACCCATGGTGCATTGCTCACCCTGTCGATGATGGTGCCCCCAATGTGGACATGATCTGTCAACAGAGGGAGCGAGTGTGAACACCCTTCGGCGATTTTTGTTTTGTCGACTTTTGGGTGTCTACATAGGTTTTGTCAACACAACTTGGTAGTGTAGACAAGCCCTCAATGACTGGCTGGGAAAGGCCATTAGGGAGAACAATATGTCTTAGAAGATGCTAATCTCCCACCAGGAAGCCTTCCTGGGAACCCTGCAAACAGCCTCCGAGTCATGGCTGCAGTGGCCCTATAGTCACCTGGTACTGGACTCCATGATAACCCTAGTGTTTTTCCCACTGACCAGGTGTGGGAATCAAACTGGGAGACAAAGGGTTTCCACTATATGCTAGAACTATTTTAAGGGAGGGGAGGGACATCATCGTGGTTTGTTCTTCACTGACTCCCAGCCCAAGAAAGAGGACTGCTGGAAACACCTAAGCAGCCAAAAGACTGAACTAGGGGAGAAGGGCTGAACCCAGGCTAGAAGGCCGTCTAGCCTGTGAAAGGAATAACTGGAGTTTTAAGCTGCAAGTAAGTGCAGCTTGCCTTCAAGAATCTCTGCAATCTGCCTAAAACAACATTTAGGGTGAGAATTTACTACACACATCCAATTTCTTTAGTATATTAAGCTTAGATTGCAGGTTTATTTTATTTGCTAGTTAATCTGCTTTCATCGGTTTGCTATCCCTTAAAATTATCTTTTGTAGTTAAACTTCTTTTTGGTTTCAGAGGGGGGGGCCATGTTAGTCTATATCAGCAAAAACAAGAAGGAGTCCTTGGGGCACCTTAGAGACTAACACATTTATTTTTGTTTTGTCTAAACCAGTGTGTGGAAATCATAACTGTGGGGTAGAAAGACATGTATATTCCTCTCCACACTGAGGGAGAGGGTGAATTTCATGATCTTATGCTGTACAGATTTCTGTGCAGCACAAGATGGTATAATTTTGGGTTTACCCTCTAGAGGGCGGTGTGCACTTGAGTACTGGGCAGTTCCTTAGCTGAGCCTTCCCACGCAGAGCTGACCGCAGCATCCATGTGAAGCTGCCGCTGGGTGTGTGCTGGTAAAGTGCAGTCTGAAGCTTGAGGGAAGGCTTGGCAGGCTGCACAGAGGTACAGTGTTAAGGGAACCCAGGCTGATGGGTCCAGCAGGCTCAGTGGTACCCCAGTTCCAAGTGGCACCCTGGGGGGAAACTGTCACAAGGTGCAGCTCAGAAGGACTCCAAATGCAGACCCATTCCGAAAAGTGATTCTAAAAATGGCATTGTGCGGTTCTGTATTCATCCCCTTTCATCCACTCCAAACCTGGTACACAGAATCTCCAGCTTCCAAGCATGCAAACACAGCCCGGGGATCTTTCCTATTCATGAATAGTCACCAGTTATAACCTGCAGGCCAAGTTCTGCCCTCAGTTATGCCTGTGCAACAATGCTGTCCTTATATCCTGCACCTAAAGCGACATTATCTTCAGATGTAACTGAGTGCAAAACTTGGCCTTGCAGTTGGAATGTAGTTAACAATTCTGCTGACAATGTGCAAAGCGGGACAGACTCCAGCTCATTCTCCCACAGCTAGGCTAGCTTTGCAGGGCATAACAAGCAGTAAAAACACACATAGAACAATAAAACTTTTAATAACCCTGGGGAGCGTTGTATTGAGTAAGAATGGTGCCATTTTACACAGTTTTCAGACTAGATCAGCAGTTTAGGAATCTTAGTGATCCCAGGGGGAAAGGGTCAGAGAACAGCATAACCATGATTGTCTTGGCTTCCTTCCAATATCAGGGGGCATGAACATAAGCTGAGAAAGAGCCATGTATTAAAGGCAACATTTTGTCATGTGCACAGTAGTTAACATGGAAAAAACCACCATGGAATTGCTAACAATACAGATCTATTAGTGTATAAGCTAGCACAGCTTTTAAGCTGTCAAGCCCTGAATAAAAACAGCTGTGAATTAAAGGAGTTACACATGCAGAGCTTACCGGGTACATGACTTGCACTCCTCTGTTGGATATGCCCCTAAGTGAAGCCGTCTCAAGTGGTCAATTTTTGGCTGCCCAGGTGCCCTGCATAGGAAGAAAAATGTGAGAAAAACCACACTGCTGAAAAATTGTAAAAGCTGTTTCCACGATTGCAGGCTCATTACACAGAATGCCTGAGAACCAGACAACCAAGGTCAAGATGAAACTATGGACAACTGAGACACTACACACCTGCCAGAGGGAATGTCCCAATGGGGCACTGTGATAACCCTTCTCCAAGTGTAAGGGGCTGCACTCAAGGGATTAAAGTTCCACTTCTACCCATTATGATGAACTATTCCGCAGTCTTCCAAACCGCTGCCTTCTTACTACTAGTGAATTTCTATTATATAAACAGGAAGCATTTAACCCTCATATCCTGGCCAAACCACATCTTAAGAAATTATATTCTGCTTACTTAAATTCCCCCATGGTTTCAACTAAATACTGTATCTTTTCCTCCAAGTTCCCTGCTAAAACCTAACATATGGAATTTGACAGAGAATGGCTACTATGCTCCACCCCAGAAGTGGCTGCATTTTAGTGAGGGCTGACTTGATTCCTGACCATGCAATCTGCAAAGCACAGTGAGATTTAACAGGATAAAAGATACATTGTAAGGTTGTGTTGCATTTTTAATTCCCATCACATTTTATTCTCTGAATTCCCATTTCAGATTCCTTAGAGCCTATGTGCCAATAAAACACTATACCCATTTTAGAAACTGAAAAATTGAGGTGCAGAGAAAGCAAGCAACTCATCTGTGGTCACAGAGTGAATTTGTGGCAGAGTCAGGAGTCCTAACTCAGTTCCCTACACTAACCAATAGACAACACTCCCCTCCCTAAGAAAGGAATAGCAATTTTGACTTCTGGTCGATTTTACTGTAATCCCTAGACTACACTCCTTTCCAGAGCTGAGAACAGGATCCGGGAGTCCTGATTCCCAGTCGCCTCTCTGCTCTAACCACACTACCTGCTTGTTTCAGATTTCCATACCTGACAAAGACATCAAACTGCGATGAAACAGTGTGACCAATGAGTCCAGGGGCCTTCCCAAACTGCAGCCTGATGAGCTGCTTGTTCTGCAGCTTACTGATAATGCCATTATTGATGGGTAACCAGTCTACATTGGGAATAAGCAACTGGCTGGGGAGAAGACAACACTCATCAATCAGGGTATCGTCTGGCTCGCTCGGGTGAGTTTCGTCACGACCTGCATGGGAGACGAAGCACAGAGAGAACTTTCTCTAGCATGCTACTTGCTTAAAGGACAATAAATGCTGTTGCCTGCATGTTTCCCCCTCCCCGACCCAGTATGGCAGCTCAGGAAACAAACAATTCATCTTGTAGCCACTCTTTCTCCCTCTGATTGCTACAGACCTACCCAGAGCCTCATTATCCCTAAGTGTTTTTCCTGTGTACAATATGGAACATCCACTGCGCACAAGATAGGATGAGTCTCTCTAATTCCGGGAAGTTTTTAATCCTTACAGCACAGCCAGAGTTTAGTCAACAGCCTGAAGAGTAGGGACATGCTGTCCTGGGTATCTGAGGTTGCCGTGTAAACAGGGAGGCAGCTTGGCTTCAACAGGCCCCAGATCCGGATCACCACCATGAGCTCTCTAAGCATCCCCAGTGATGCCCCGTCCCGCAGGAAGCTGTGCCCTGGCCGCACAGGGGATCCCTGCAGGGAATAGGAGGAAGGGCAGAGAAGAGAAACTTTTATGATCTGGGCTCACAGACATCCCCACCGGAACCACTTCCCATACAGGTGATCTAGCTAAGGTACTTATATGGCCCCCATTATTGTCATCATCTGCTAAATTTTGCAGCATGGCAAGAGGTTAGTTTAGCGCCATGTGCGTTTGTGCTCGCTGTAGGCACCCACAGAGCAGAAGATCAGGAGTTCTGGCGTCCATCTCTGATTTCACTTACACAGGTGGCTTCTCCATTCAGAGTTACTCTGGATTTACGCTGGCATGAGCATGATCAAAACCAGGACTTGTGGTTTCTATTCCTAGCTCTGCCACTAATTTGCTGAGTGATCTTGAGTAAATAATTTTCCCTCAGTAAGAAGAAAATAATGCTATTGACAGTCTTAATTAACATTTGGAAAGCACTCAGAGACTTAGATGAAAGGCCCTAGAGAAGGGTTATTATTTCCTCTGTGTAGATCTGCACACACAAGTTCCTTTAGCACACTGCAAGATGAAAAGTTACACTAAAAAAGACGCACTTGACATTAACACTGGCTTCAGCGCAATCCATTTCTAGGACAACAGCACACACTGAGCACACTGATTAACCCAACAGCACATGGCCATTGAATGAAAGAAGGCTTTCACTACCCTCCACACACCACACTGCCAAAGATGGAGGACAAGTTCTCACCTGATTAGGGAGGCTGGCAAGCAGATAGAGCACAAAGTCTCCCACCCACTGGATGAGCTGCTGCAGGGACTGCAGGGTAGTCATCTCCAGGACAAACTCCTCCGTCTTCAGGTTAATCATCACTTTGTCAATGTCTGAAAAGGAAGCAAGACAGCTCCTAGCACAGGGAGAAAAGAGGCTCTGGGAGTTTCCAGCATTGTGAACACTGCTCTTCTCGCTTTTAAACCCGGCTACCGACTACAAATGCATGCAACTTTATACCTACCCCAACAGTGCAGCCTATAGAAGACAGTGTAGCCCAATGGGTAAGGCTACAGGAGACTGGGTGCTGGTCCCATCTCTGCCAACTGCCCTGCTGCGTGTCCCTTCCCCCACTATGCCTCCGTTTCTCCTCCCACCCTTTGTCTGTCTTGTCTAATAGACCATAAGCTCTTCAGACGCAAGTCTCTGCCCTGCAAGCCTGACTCTGGTTGGAGCCTCTATCTGCTATCGCAGTATAAACAGATACACACCCCTGAGGATCCTTCATGCCCAGTGCCTGTAACAGCCTACATGGAGTTGTCCACATATCCTGTTTCATTGGTGGGCATCTGGTCTTTGACACCATCATCTTTTGGGGTTCCACCAACACACCTCAGGTTCACAAGCGAGTGAACTTTTGCTGGGACTGGTAGCCATGAAGGGGTGGAACTCGCTCCCCCCATGGAGTGTCCACCCTAATCTAAGTACCCCCAACAAAAGACTGATTCAGAAAGGGAGGGAGCTGATCAGCCAGGCAAACAGCCGTGCTGCATCAAGGGATGCAAACGGCTACCTATGTCCGTAATCTTGGAGCAGATCTCGGTGAGCCGGTCACCAGGACTCTTGTCTGGAGTGTTCAGGAAGTGCGGGCGGAGCAGCGATTTCAAGGTGCAGCTGATGGCGATCAGAAATAGCTTGGCATGATAGTCACACACGCGTGCAACAGTATTGGAGGAAAGCTTGCAGAGAGAGGCCTTCATGGCAACAATGCGTGTGGAGAGAACCTGTTTGACGGGGACACACAAGGATAGGCACAGAAACAAGATCAGATTTAGAATGAGCCTACTTAAAACCGCTACTCCCCAGCAACCATCACCCTGAGGAATGAATGCTGTTCTCCGTGTGTGCTACAACTGGCCACAGTACCCATTTACATCAACAATAGGCTTTACTAGCCTACCAAGAGTTTCTCCGAGAGCTGCTACTGGGCAGGAGCTGCTGAAATATAATACTCTGAAGGTAGAGTAGCGAAGACAGTGGTATCAACCTTACGCTTAAAATGCTACGCCTAAACCAGCAATGCTCTATCACTGGGGCAACTCATTGGACACTAGACAGTATGCTAAGTTCATGCATAAGAATTCTCTACATAGTAATCACCCTGGGTGAAGTCATATGCCCTTCCCAATCACTCCAAGCCCCCAACAGTACATAAGTACCAGATTTGGAGAGGCAGTGTAGCCTAGTAGTCAAAGTAACCCGTGGAAGTTCACTGGAAACCAGTGAAGTCTGGAAATTAACATCCCCTTATCTACTCCTGTTCCTTGACTCCCCTCCTACCAGTCCACACTCGGCACTGTGCCAAGCGTTCCTCTGCTGTTTCCTCACCTGCTGCAGGGCTGCATTCTGGCGCATGTACTCCTCATGCAGCTTCTCCACCAGGTTCTGCACCATGTTGGGCTGAACATGGAGCAGGATATCCCACCAGTCGTATCCCGTCACCATGCAGTATTCCAGCAGGAACAGCAAGTGGCGGAGAGACATGTTCATGTCCAGCACATGGCCCATGGAGGGAGAGATCCGGAGCATGCTCAGCTGAAGAAAGAAAAGAAAAGGAACACACATCAAGAGGATCCATCCACTCTAAGGGACTAACAACACCTGGAATCAAAGTGGCAGGAGATCTACAAAACCTCTAACAGAGAACAGTGTCAGCCATGTTCCAGTAAGTTTTGTCTACACTACACCCTGCAAATGAACCTCCGCTATGATCTGTGGAGACAATCTCCCAGGATATGGGCAGTTCAGTCCCCATGGCAGTCTCAGACCTTAACATCTTTGATAAAACTCGCAACAAGAGGCCAGTTCTGGAGAGAGGTGTGCAAATTGGACTGAGACCTATTAAACTCATTTGACACAAGTTAACGGACTCTATGTCTGACCATAGCAATTTTTAGTTACTACTGAGCTGGAGAGACAGTTCTGTTAAACAAAGGGAAAACACAGGCACTATCTTGGATGAGGCTGCCTACTGGCAAGATCAAATGGACTTGTAACTCCTGGAAGACTCACTGCTTGAGCCAGTTAAGAGCAAGCAGAGCAGAGCCCTGGCTAACTGAACAGAGTTTGTCCTGGCCTAGAAGAGCAAATAGGTCTTTTCCCACATCTAGCATAACAAGGCAAAGTACCTTGCCATGGTTATCAATCCCAACCAAGGCCAGTGAAGTCCAGGAGAGCTGCATGGCTTTGAAATGAACCAAAGGACCGGCGGCCCGCTGCCTTTTGATCGCCTGCTCATCCACTGGGCGCTGAGAGGAAGAACCATAGAACACTGCCATGGTCTGCAAGGACAGGCGATGAACTATGTGGACGCTACCATCATGGAAGGCCAAAGCAAGACCTGAGGACAAGAAATATCTGGGGTTTAGCAAGTGATTCCTGTGAGTGTAACCCATCCCACCCCAATGAGACACAGACAGTTGTCACAAAGTCAGACAGCAGCTCTGAAGACAGCCCAGTGGTCTCCAGCCTACCACAAGCCTTTCTTCCCCATCCTGCCCTGCATTTTTACAGTAATGAGAATACTTGTCTCTTCTATAGGGTCTGCTACTGGAGGATCCCGAAGCACCTTGCAAACATTAAGACTCAGTCTCACCCACTGGGAGGTAGGTACACAGTACATCCATTCTGTTGTGTGTTAAACACTGATGCGCCCAGCCCCATACCAGGCAAAAAGCAAAGATGGGCCCTGCCTCCCAAAGCCTACAGTCTAAGAGTACATCTACACTGGAGCGGAGGTGTGATTTCCAGCGCGGATGGACGTACACACACAATAGGAGTGAAGCTGCGGCAGCAGGGCAGGCTAACCACCTGAGTACGTACCTAGGGTCTCAGATGGGATCGTGCTTGGGGTAGCTAGCCCCTCTCACTTGCACTGCTCTTTTTAGCAAACTACCTCAATCAAAGTTAGTGCGCGTACGTCTACCCAAACTAGAAATTACACACCCAGCTGCAATGTAGATGTATCCCAAGAGACTGGCACACATACGACATGCTGGGTAAACTGAGGCAGGGAGGGGGTTAAAGGTCTGATTTGCAGAGCACCTACTACTCCCACTGTCTCCATAGGGGAGTTATGGGCGCTCAGCACCTTGGAAAAGCAAACATTATTCTAATCAGGTCCTTGTAATCACCTATCACTGTGGTATCTGAACACCCTAAGTGATTTGCCCAAGTTCACCCAGCAAGACAGTAGCAGAACCAAGAGAAGAACCCAGAAATCCTGACTCTCGTCCTCCACTCTAACCGCTATCCAGTATCCCTCCTCAACGCCAGCCTCGTTAATTGCACTGCCTGGACAGCCGAGAACAGGAGCCCTGACCTTTCTAGGTTTCTTCGGTCCTCACTAGTAGACATGCAGAAAGTCCTTTCAAGTTGGGATACAGTGACAGAAGGCCTCAGGCACCCCAGCACATATGACAGCTACAACAGTTCCTCCTGTGTAAGCTCTTCCTCATCGCTAGGTGGATGTACCCATCCCCACTGGGAACAAACTTAGTCCAGTTTTAAAGGACTTCTTGATTCCTGCAGGGCATCTTCTATCAAGAAACACACAAACCACACTCCAAAGTAGCTGGGGCTCTCTCTGTTCATAAGTGAGATGAACAGAGGCAGCAAAACTTCCATCTGCAGCTAGATGTTCAGAAAAGAAGCCTCCTTACCCAGTCCAGGGAAGAATTTGGTGTCATTGGCCACTTTCAGATCAGTATTGGTTAGGGAGATTGGCAGTTTCGGCAAAGCCACAGCTGAAACGCGATCCAAATCATTGGTGGCGGAGAGAATCCGCCATTTCAGTATCATCGGCTGCTTGTCTCCAACTTTACAGAAAAAACGAACAAAATAAACGACAGAATTTCACATAAAAAAGTCAGAGAAAGTGCCACAGACATCCCAGTCTTGAATTCTCCCCCACCACAACAGCGTGCTTGGAATTAAACACTGATTATGAGTTTATTCACTCAGACGGATGCATTTTTGTAGACTCATTAGTTTTACAAAAAAGTTGTGGTTTTTTTTTTCTAAATCCATCATGACGGAGTGCTCTTCTCGTGGTGATTACCGAACGCCCAGAAGAATAAGGATTGGATTTCGAGTCATAATTGAGTCAAGAGTTTACACTAGGTTTTGATATTTCTTTGGCTATGATCTTGTTTTTGAGGAGCATCAGCTGCTGAAACTCACCCACGGGAGAGATCTGCTGGAAGATGTTATTGACTGGCAAGCCCTCTTTCCGGAGAGACCAGCACTCCACGATGCTGCTGTTCTGGTTGGAGGCACAGAGCAGCACCTTCAAAGCAGAAAGGAATTTTCAAACCAGGCACAGCTACAAAGCCATGTCTTTTGTGCCCACCCTCTAGACGAAAAGGAAGGGGGAAGATTTGCTACTGTAATTGTCTGCATGAAATTCAGAATAGGAAAATACAGAGTACAGGGTGAAAAAGTGAGAAACAGAAAATGTGTGCATTAGTAGAGCTGGTGGGGAGCCCAAGTTTGGAACAGCAGATGGGCTGCTGGTTAGTGCAAGAGCAAAGCTGTAGGGAGGAGTTTATAGATCAAGTGGGTCCTTCCCTTTCCTAAGCATTTAACTCTTGGAATACTAGTGTAACATAGGAGGAGGGCGCTCACCTGCTCTGACATGTCCCTGGCGAGGAATTTCAAGTGAGTGATTGCCGGATACTTGTCCTTGCGGGCTGGGTCTGTGGTGCACCGCATGAAAAGGGAGGGCAGAATCTCTGTGTCAATTTTGCATTTCTCATTCACTACGCTGACGCAGACCTTGTAGAACTGGACGGGAGAGGTGCTGCTGCCATCTGAGGTGGCTACCACGATGTTTCCCCCACCCGTGAAGGCAATGTCCGCCAGGGCGACACGGCACCGCAGACGGCACAGGCTCTCCGTGGATGTTAGCACTTGCCCGTTGGGCTTGAGGAGAGAGACTGTCACCAGGCCGCTAATGGTCACAGCGATCCAGCCTTCCATAGGCTTCCCACCAAACAGAGTCAGGGAGGGAGAGAACTTGACCCGGGAAAACTTCTCGCCAAAATTCGATGCTCCGGACTGTGAATGGAGATTAACATACACAGAGCGGTTAGATCCTAGGGCTGAACGACTCTGCCATTACCTGAGTCTCCTTTTAATATCACTTCAACATGGCCTAGAGCAGTGATACTCAGATCTCAGTAGTACAGGAGCAAAATCGGCAATCAACATTACCCAAAAGAGCCACAGTAGTGTTAATTCACTGTTTCATTTACTATATCTATCTATCTATAAATTATTGTCACAGCAAAATGGCTGAGCAAATAATTTAATTGATAAAATAATACTATTTAACAACATAGTAGAAGCACCCTGACTGGTTAATACTTAAATCACACAGTGTTTTAAAGCATGTGCTGCAAAGAGCCGCAAGGCATTTCAGCTGTAAAATGGGACAAACATTTTTCTCATCAGCGTATCGTGAGGTTTGTGTATTATGAGACGTCCTGTGGAATGGAAAGTTTGCCAAAGCCCCTGGATCTTCTCTGGAATCAGGGAGATATTCCAGATCAAGCAGGCTATATGGTATAAATATGGTCCCCATTTCAAAGCACATCTTACAATTCTGAAGGCATTTATCCTCACAACACCCTGTGAGATAGGTCAGTGCTATTCTCCCCATTGTACAGACGGCAGAGAGGCTAAGTGACCTGCCCAAGATCATACAGGAAGTCTATGGCGGAGCAGGGATTTGAACCCACATCTCCCTAGTCTTAGACTACTGCCCTAACCACTGGATAATCCTTCCTCTCTGGTTCCTTCCTTGCAGGTTCCCCGTGCAAGTGCTAGAACAAACCTTTTCCACGTGCAGTGCTAGCTTCACCCCATTGTGCAACCAGGAAAGAGCCACAATTGGATCTCCCTCCACCATGCTGCCCACAGTGTTCTCCCAGCTGTTAGCCAGGTGATCTGTCATGCTCCAGCACTTGATGTGTCCATCTGCATCTGCTGACAGGAGCCTGGAACCTAATGCAATACAATCAAAAGAAGAATAGAAACGTCAGAACACGTCTCACAGAGATTACCAGGAACCCAGCCACAGGCATCTTCAAAGCAATGCATAGGAGGGAGAGGCCCCCCCATGCAAGACAAAAGGGTTTAGTAACATTACACTCACACCAACGTAAGATGAAAATTCACAATTCAAGCAGCAATTTAATCTTAAGCACTGGTTCCCACTGTGTACTGGTGATACTGTGAAATCATACCTGGGTTGGATTATTTCCTCAATGATTCAGCAGATTCAGGGCTCTCACCTGTTGCTGGATTTTAAAAGTGCCTCCTTCAGCACCTTGCAGCTCTTACAGGTTGGAGTTCAAGAGGTGACTCCTGGCACCTAACTACCCCAGGAGACCAGTCTATTGCTAATAACTAACTCAAGAAGGATGGGAAGCACAGTCCTCTATGAAATCCACTATGGACCTCACAATGCAGATCTGACTGAACTGAACACTGCAGATATTACATGATTGGCACTATACAAAGATTTCTGATAGCAGGAACCTAAAAGAGAAAGACCTCCATAAACTCCCACTATATGCCCCATCACACTGTGAGCAATTTTATGAAGCCAAAAAAAAAAAAAAAAAAAAACACCCCAACCAACTATAAGAGCAAAGCTTACCTGACTGATCCCATTCCAAACAGGTGATGATTTCAATGTGCCCAGAGTTAATGGAATAAACATCCCATGGATGCTCAGTGTCCAGGATATGGATCATGTGGGTAAGATCTAGGCAGGGAGAGACACCAAGTCCTTTCAAAAATTTGCAGTGGAATTTAATTTAATTTTTTAAAAATTCAATTTTTTACTGTAGGACATTAGTGAGCTTTAATTATTTTTATAGGACCATAAACATATGTTGCTTTACAAGACCAAAAAATAAAGTCTCTGCTCTGAAGAAGTGAAGATCTAATTAGAGCGTTTTTCCACAGCAAGACTAGTCTGGAGCAGGGGTTTTTCTAGCTGGGGGTCATGAATAGGTGTTGAGAGGGGGAGCAGATAAGAATCACAAACCACAGGAATGGGACAAACTGTACCTTTTTCCTCCTCATTTTTGAGGTCTGTTGTGAAAGCAATCAGGTTCCTGCAGGACCAAGCACATACCAGTGGGATGGAAGGACAGTGGTTGCTTTTAGGCCTTTTCTCCCACTCACAGACATATGCCAAATCCATTATGCCCTGGAAGACCTCCAAGGCACCACTTGCCTGTTGCAAGCCTATTCATAGACTGCTGTGCCTAGGAAAGAGAAGAATAAATAGGACTAGAATCTACTGTACAGTCACACATGCAAAGGACCACAAGTACATTGTCAAAGATCCCCTTTGTAAAACAGCAGCCATTTTCACTTTCCCAAGGAAATGTGTTGCTTTGTGCAATCCCCACTGAAAATAAGGATGCACTGACTTACATTATCAGTCAGAGCAGCCGGAGTGGAGAATTCCCATCATGGCTAGTTTTAAACCTTACACCTTTTAAAGAATCCTATTAACTCCTGTGACACAGCTGTACCCTCTGCTCCCATTTGCATTAATTCCTTTCCTCACCACTCTTTCTTTTCTCCCATGTCCTCATTCCTACTGAGATCTCCCACCTAAGATCCTCCAACCTTTACAGCTCATTCCTTTGTCCCTAAATGTAAGCCAGACACAGTAATCCTGAACACCATTACAGATCCTCAACACCATTAATTTGAGTTTCTCTTAGTAGAGGGTACTCCATACTTGGGAGCCTGAGAGCAAAGAAAAGCCCATGGAGCTCATAATCTTTACAGCCACAGTCACCTGATTTAAAGGTTAAGTTTTCTGCTAAGGTGGAGAGAATGTAATCATACAAAAAGAAGAGGAGCCACAAGTACTCCTCTTCTTTTTGCGAATACAGACTAACACGGCTGCTACTCTGAAACCTGTGATCATACAGTTTATCCACTGTACCACTCCTTCCCAGGTAAAAGAATATCAACTCTCCAATCCAAATGCCATATTGCTCATCTTACTTGTGGGCAACTTATCTCCATAGCCCACTGATGTAACACTTCTTCTGTTTAAAGGAAAAGTACAGTGAGATTAAAAGATAAAACAAGAGCCAACATGGTGGGCTGGATGGTCTCTTCCTAAATGGCTTAAGCTTTCTTGACATGTAGGTCCAGTAAGCACACTGGATGATATAATTAACTCCCTCTGAGCTTCTGTATAACAGTCCCTGTTCTTAACCTGGGAATACGGCCCCATTAGCCGCATATGCCACCTGTATACAAGTGCTACCTCTCGAGTGGAAACATTACCCTCTTGTTACTAGCCTTGGATCAACGCTGGTGAGTCTTAGATGCTGTCAGAAAAGAGTATTTTTTCTGTACGCGATCAGCGACCTTGGCGCCGTGATGGTCACCCGAGTACCAGAGGGGTCCCCCAGAGGTGTCACTGTCAGGGGCTACACTGGGGCTGGCTGCCAGTATTTCTCCTCCACCCAGGAGCCCCTATCAACAGCACCACGCTGGGATCCCTTCACTCCTAACAGTGGGGTAAGCCAGGGTCTTCCACCCAGGCCACCCCCAATGCCTCCAAGATACAGGGGGTTGGGAAATCCCCTCCCCCCCACAGTCATTCATGGGGATGGGGAAGAGTCCACCCACCTCCTCCAAGATGGGGGGGGGGACTCCCCTTCCCCCACAGAGGCAGGGACAATAACTACCCCTCCCCCCACACAGGAAGGGGGGTAATTATCCCTCCCCCCACACAGGAAGGGGGGTAATTACCCCACCCCCACCCTAGAGAGAGGCGGTAACTGCCCTCCCCCGCAGGAGAGACTCACCTACCTCCCCCCCTCCCTGCGCGCCGCCTCCTCTCTGCCCAGAAAGGCCCCCTGCCCGGGCTGCCTCTGAACGGGCCGGAACAAACCTCCGCTCCCAGGGAGCGGGCAAGGGCCAGGGCTCGGCTCCGAAGCCCGAAGGAAGGGAGGAGGCGACTCGCCCAGCTGGCCCGTGTCTGTCAGAGCGGGAGACGGTCTCGGAGCCGTTTGTGGACAATTCGCTCAGGCATCCCACAGGGCAGCCCCAGTGTGAGGGCCTCCTTCAGCCGAGGGCGCTGCTCTGTTAATTTGCATACATTCCTACCCATAATGCCAGACGGCTGAGAAGCTGAGATGATGGCCAAATTTAAGTGGATTTAATGAAAATAAAAGGTTATTATGAAATAAAATAATGATATGTATTAAGTAAACAAGAATATTAATTAGGTACATATCGTTGACAACATACTAAGATCACCCTCACTGTAAAGAAAATAAATTTTTAGAGATATAAATACTGAGCTGGCCCACCTTGAATTTGTGCTCGCTTCGGCAGCACATATACTAAAATTGGAACGATACAGAGAAGATTAGCATGGCCCCTGCGCAAGGATGACACGCAAATTCGTGAAGCGTTCCATATTTTTCTTGCCTGCCCTTCCCCTCTTGTAAGGAAACCTCTCCTTAGGGCATTTCTGTTAACTCCCTCTGCAGCAGGGTTTTACAAATTACCCTAGTATTTGGGGCTGGGGCTGCCCAAATATTCCCCCCCCCCCCCAAGAAAAACCCTCTGCCTTTGGGAAAGTCCAAGGCCCCACCCCACAAAAATCTCATTATTCAGAGGAACCCAAAGCAACTCTTGCATATTGAGCTTCCCCCATAACCCAAACTTACCCCACAATCTCACTCTTCATTCCCCAAATACATAGACCCAGATCCACCCCACTGTTTTTTCTACTGGGTTACATACAAATACTCTAGTATCTTGGTATTTGCATCCATGCAAATAAACCCCAGCAACTTGTTATTTGTGTAGACCCAAATAAACCCCAATATCTCAGTATCCAACAAAACTTCACTATCTCAAGTAAATTTGCAGAATTCCCCAGGCTCTCTCTCTTTAGGGAAAGTGACTGAGTTCCTGCCTGGCTTGGGATTTTGTTACACCCCATAACTTGGACCAAGTTTGCCTGAAGTTCAATGAACCCAGATCAAGTTTTAAGCCACAGCCAGACCAAGTCTGGAGCCAGCCATGTGGGGGCTTGAGGTCGGCACAAGTGAGTGCTGAGGTTCAAGCAAGCTGGGGAGTGAGTTTTGGAGTGAATCAGGGATGCTGAGGTTTGAGCAAACACCCACCCACCATCCGGTGCCAGGGTGGGATCTGTGGTTTCAACATGAAACTTCAGGGACCTGCAGAACACGCTGCCAGCTGCTTCATTCAAACCAGAAAATTCCCAAACACAACTACGTTCACTGCTGTTGCTGGGGAGGAAATCTGTGCCAAACCCCATTCTCATGGGCATTGGCAGTTTCATGTCCTCCTGGCTCCCATGAGCTGGGGAGGCATGGTGGGGGTGCAGAGAATTACCGCCCCTAGCGACCACCCTGACTTACCCACCTCCTTGACCTGTTCCCATTCCCTTTCCACACTGCCCACTCCCGGGAACAAGAAACAACCTGAGACCTGCGGATGCATTCAGCTTCTTGACAGCTGGGCAGCCCTCTTTTAATTATTGTTAGCTCTCTTGTGGTAGTAGCCGGCAGGCTGTGTCATGGACCAGGGCCCCAGGGTGCTAGGGGCTGCACAAACAGACGCTCCCTGTCTCCCACTTTGCATGATGCAGTGTGACCAAGCAGGGCCTCTGGGACAGTTCTCTCTCCCCTGGGGGGCTTAAAGTCACTCCTCTGGCCTGGCGCTCTGTGGACACACCTGAGGCGCTGGGTTGGTCCCCCAGGGGCATGCAGCCAGCTGGTTTCATGTGTGTGCATGGTGCACCTGGCAAGTGGAACAAAGCATTGTGTCCCTTGTCCCCTCCACATGATCACCCCTGCTCCTCCACCCTGTCCAGCAAAGGCAGATGGAGGCTGATCTAATGCACTTCCAAACCCCAAATGAAAAAGTGCAAGATGAGAAAACCAGACAGAGAGCAGGTGGTGCTGGGAAGCCCTGTGGGCTCAGTTGTTGAGCCTGATGGCTCCAGTCAGAACCCGCAGGGGGCTTCAGAGCGATGACGGTTCCACACTCAGTCTCGGCTCTGCCGGAATGAACCAGCCAGTTGGGCTGGCCAGAGGCCTCTCAGTCACTGTGATCCCCCTACAGCTCTCCCTCCGTGCAAGCTTGCTTCGCTCCCTGGCTCCTGCCTTCCCCCGGCAGGGGGTAACACTTCTCCGCCATGGGTGACGATTAGAGACCTCCTAGGGCTGCCTGGGGAGCCAGTAAGTGGCAAGAGCGAGAGCGAGCGCTCCACAGGGCTCCATCAGACTGGTGCCTTTAATGCCCGTGTGCCTGTGAATAAAGCTGCTCATTAGGGCCCAACTGCCCTGAGTTTCCATGTTCAACTGCAGCTTGCAAGGGGCTAAGGCAGCACCGTCTGTCCAGAAGCAGGAGAGATAAGGCACAATGCCCAGCCCCGTGACCCTGGTCCCACTTTCAGCTTAGGCTGGGGTGGGGTGGGGAGGGGACCGAACGGGCATCTTCCCTGGCTCCCTAGAATCCAGGAGTTTTGGGGAGTGTGCATGTGGCCCCAAGGGGCAGATGTGTGGCTAGATGGAGGGTGATTGTCAGTGATCCAAGGGGGCAGGTGCATGAGTGATGGAAGGATGAGAGAGGGGGCTGGAGAACTAAAGAGAGTGGGCAGAGAGAGCCACAAGAGACTGACTAAAGAGGGACTGAAAGAGACAGCAGAAGGAGGAAGACGTGGCAGATCACAATAACATCCCCCCCAAGAGAACGGAAGATTGAAAGAAGAGCAGAGGATCTGGACCAAGCTGTTCAGATTTTGGATCCTTACTCACAGGTTGTATCAGGCTTCTGATTCTACCCACTTTTTTCCTCTTCCCCCCCAGCCCCCTGCTGCCAAGAACAGGGGAGTCTGCCAGCCCCGTCTCCATTAATATGGCCACGCAAGGGGGTTGCGGGTGATGGGGGGTTCACGCCCATGCTCTTGTACAGAACAGGCAAATACAAAGCAGAGACGTGTGTTCCTGCTGGCGGAGCGAGCCGTTGTCCCATTTCTCGTCTGGGTGCTGAGTGGCGCTCATGCCCGGCCAAAGATGCTTTATTTTGCTAGAATGCAATTTGCAAATGAACATGGGGCTCCTGGATCCAGGGGCTGAGAGCACTGGCTGGAATTAAGGCTGCTGAAGGTAGATGGGCTGCAGGCTTCCCTAGCGTAGATACGACCACGGCCTTTCATCTAAGCTGCAGCCTCCTCCCTGCTTTGTCTGTGTTTGACAGTTTAAGAAATCAGCTATTATGGAGAACAAAGCTCCATAATACATAGTAGATAGGCGTAAATTATATTTTCAATCACTGTCAGTTTCACAACACCCAGCCTGCTAAGTGGATTTAAACTCAGGGGTGGTGGCAGCTGGCAGTGCTACATCAGAAGCCCTGGAGTTTCTCCCAGTTAGGATGATTCACAAGTTAATTGCCTCACGTCTGAGCACGACGGGATATTCCATTAGGCCAGGTCTTCACTATGGACCACACAGCGGCACAGCCGTACCGCTGTAAGGCCTCCTGTGTAGCCGATATAGGCTGATGGGAGAAAGCTCTCCCACCGGCGTAATTAAATCACGCCTCAACGAGGGTCTCCTGCCAACACAGCGCTGTCCACACCATGTGCTTTTTCCACACCCTTCACCGACAAAAGTGCTTGTGTAGACAAACCCTTAGCGTCCTACACCTCTTGCTAACAATACCACCCTCAAGCCCTGGCTTGGACAGAGGGCGATCGCTATGACACGACACACGAGCAGACAGATGACTCCGGAGCACCATGATTTATTGTCCTTGTGCACATACCTTCCCCAGCTGAGTCAGCTCACAAGGAATCGTTTTTTTCCCCTTTCAGCAGAAGCCCCGGTTTTGGCCTCTGGTTTACAGCAGACTAAAGCATTACCAACGCCACACAGTCACCAGTCCACGCATGGATTTGCTCAGGCACAGCAGGTGAATGCTGCGGTGAGAACAGGGGACGGTCCTTTCAACAGAGGCAAGAGCTAGGGCTGGCAGGTACAAGTGACACAATTAAAAAGAAAAATCGATAACCATTCCCAGAAGCACGACACACAACATCCATGTCCACGTTACAATCCACAGTACGGTCCTGATCGGGTGCTGGGCTGCACAGAGGCACTGTCCGTGCCAAGATCACTTTGGTTTGCGCCATCTCACCAGACCAGGAGCATGGGCTGGAGAGGCAGTGTGCAGAGCTGGCAGAAGGGGACGCCAGGCCCCAGGGCAGAGCAGAGCAGGGACTGTGGCAGGAGTTTGCCTATTCTGCCCAGAGCAGCTCCCAGAATAGTGCGTGGCTTTGACACGCACAAAAGCGCACCCATGGGAGGTCAAGGGCTGCGGTCCGCTATGCTGCATTGTCCAGCTAGAACAGACCCCCACCCACGCCCAGGAGAGCCTTGCTGTCCAAAGCAAATCAAGGGTCCTCCATTGTAGGATGAGAGGTTGTTTTGCTGAAAAAAGTTTTTTACATCCAGCTGGTTTACAAGGGAAGAGGAGATGTCAACGGAGCCCGATTCTCCACCCACTCAGTGTACAGCCTCACTCACGAGCTACGCTGGTGCTCAGCGAGAAGAGGGGAAAGGGGCCTGATCCTGCCCTCCGGGGGCCTAATTCTGGTCACTAACCCATATAAGTCAGGAGTAACTCCAGTGAAACCAAGGGAGCCGCACTATAGCGGAGAGGAGAATCAAGCCCCGAACCTGTGCAGAGAATACAAATGCGCGTGCCTCAGTCGGGATTCTTTACTGCTCACAGCTACAGAGAATCCCAACACAGGAGCGTTTCCCCGCAGGGCTGATCAGACACAGGCAGTGCGGGATGGTGGAGAATCAAACCTGGCCCATCCCTTTAAACCAGCTGCTATGTACAGGTGAGAGCAGCTCTTGATATGCACCAAATGAAACACCCCAACACGTAGTATACATATTAAAAACCACACATATCCGAACAGGCTCGTTACAGCACTAGAGAGCTGGAAACGGAGCCATTTAAATTGCGCCATGATATAAAACTCCCCCTGCCCTCCCCCCATGCCATATACCCCTGGCAGACCCAGGTGGCCCAAGCTGTGATGTTCAGCTCTGACCACCCAGCCACGCTTGCGAGCGGCAGGACTGCTAAGGCCCTGGCTTGGATTCCACAATCACCAACACACATCTGTATAAATGACACACTATTATATTAAGAAAAGGCCCCCACACTGCAGAGAAAGCCAGACCTTTGTGTTATTGTCTCACTGATAACTGTACCAAAGCTTAAACAATAGCGATCTGGCTTCAGAGGGCTGTTTGCTCAATGCCAATCTACACGGAGACACTAAACAATGGGCTAGTTACTCCCACTCAGGGCTGGCTCCCTGGACAGCTTCTCCACTGAGCTTCTGTCAGAACTAACAGATCGCTCTCCCTAGTCCAAAACCAAGCAGCCAGCAGGGGAGGGGGGCGCTGAGTCCTGCTTGGACACGTCTTTGAGCTTTTCACACAGATATTTCCCTCCTTTACCAAGGCTAGGTAAGTGCTAATGCGTGCATTCGGTGGGATCTACACCCCCTATATGCCACTGGATTGTACCCAGGGCTGACCCTGCGATGTTTTAAAGCGCTCTGTGGCGAGTGGCGAGCGGAAGTAGGGTTAGGCACCAGCCAAAGCAGGCTGTTGCAGTCTGTGGTAATTGACCCCAGGCTCTTCCCCTGCCTCCCTGGTCTGTGAAATGCAATTTACAAGTTATATGTTCCAGGCAGCTGCTGGACATTCAGGTCCTGATTCGGCAAAGCACTTCAGCCACTGCTGAAGCTTTAGGCTCCTGTTCAAGTGTTTACTGAGCTGGGGAAGGAGACCAATTCAGATGCTCAACGGCAAGGTCAGAGCCACTGAAATGCTAAGACCGAAAGGGAACTGTTTTGTCACAAAAATACTGCTCCAAATTCACCCCCGGGGGAAGCCAGAGGCACCCAGGGACAGGCTGTTTGTGTTTAAATGAGCTTCCAGGGAGCGCAGCTACTGCTGGGAGATAGCGCCACGCCCAAGGCAGGGCTAGGCAGACTGGTCTCACACCATTAGTGTGGTGATATCTGGCAGCTGCAGCAGGTCCTGGAGTCTCCCTGCCAAGCTAAGAGGCCAATGAGTCAGAGAAATGAGGGCAGGATGTGGCCCGAAGGGGCTGAGATGAAGGGCCCATCTCCACTATTCAAGAGCGATCTTGTTCCCCAGCACCAATAAAAGCACATTTCCATTTTATGAGAACAGGACTTTCACCATCGCCCCGAACCTGGCTGGATTCTGAATCCGGAACATGGCTTGGGGGGCAGAAGAGACACAATCAAGATCCCATCTACACTACAAGAGGGAACAGTGCCGCAACAACAGCTGATATGCATTTGACAGTGTCGATGGGCCCTCGGAGGGAATCCTGCAGGGATGACGCTTCCTCACCTCCCACCAGCCTACAGGCAGCAGGGGAGACCCCTGGAGTCAGCTCCTACCACCCTCACCCGCAGGACTCTGCCCATCCAGGGCAAAGGCTTCAAGAGAGGCAGAGTCCTCAGTCCTGACCATGTCTTTGAGAAGGGGTTGGACACTTGAGCATGACAAAGGTTGATGTTTTGGGCTGTCCAATAGGTGGTTCCATTCCGGACAGAGTGGGCTGCCTGGGGGGTGCTTGCAGGCCTCTGCCAGACCCCCCCGCCTGCAAGGAGCAGAGATGGTGCCCTCCACCAGGTACCAGGAGCGGTATGGAGAAGCCTTGGGTGGAACCAGGAGCACCCCAGGGGTGGGGAGGAAGCTGGAAGTCACACCCGCGTGTTGCCAAGCTTGTGCCACACGGGGAAGAGACAGCGGCAGCTGCGGGAGATGCCTGCAGAGCTTCAGCGATGGGCAAGGGAAGACTTCCTGTCTTGAAGCAGGGCACAAGGGATGGCAATCTAACCCACTCCACACAAACCCACCCGCCAGTTAGGCCATTGCACAAGTGCAGAGAATCGTCAGAGAGGGTGGGGACACACCCCATTTGTACGCTGAGGACTGAGTGGACGGATAGCAGATCTAGGGATCGTAGAAGCCTTCAGAGCACCGAGTGGGATGTCTTCCAGGCTTATCAGCTCATCTGCTCCAAGTAGGTGGACAGCAGTAACTCTGGGGGCAGGAAGACTCCGTGTTTGTTGCTCACTTTCATTTGGCGTTTCCCTTCAAAGTCAGAACCTGGACAGAGAGAGGAAAGAATCTGAGTTCTTTTTTCGGAGCCAGATCATGCCTCCATCTCTCACACAGTTAGAGCAAAGACCACAGGATTTGGGCCTGCAACTGGGGTCATATTCTGGGACCAAACAGAAAGATAAAGTGCTCTTCTACTCACTCACCCCAGCGATCAGACCAGGTGGGTCTCATTAGTTCCGATCCAGGGGGGATAAGCTAGATGAGCACCTAACACAGAGGCACCGACAGTGGTGTCCTGCCTGGAGAAAACTGCCAGCCACAGCCACACTCAGGAGAACTCTTGGGTTGAGGTTTGTGTTTGGTTACTTAAAGTTGACGTTTTCAAAGTCGCCTGAGGGTGCTGGGCAGCCAAGTTGATAAATGCAAGCCCCAAAGAGGAGGTAAGTTTGGGCCAGATCCGGAATGTTTGCATGCACTGGGTTAAGAACAGGGCAGGAGCACACCTGCTTGCAGATCCCACAATGACCTCTCACAGCACTGCCCAGAGAGAGGCAAGTAGAATCAGCCATGTTTTAATGATGGGGAAACTGAGGCACAGCATGACAATATGACTTGCTTGGCCCGGCCCACATCTGAGCTGCTAAACCACTTGTGCCTCCCAGCTGCAAGGTGCTGTATTCCCCAGTAGGATTTGTATGTGCTCATTTCCAACACAAAAAGTTAGCCTCGCCCGTGAGCTCCCTTCACACACAGACCGCACGCAGCATGCCCTTCCAGCCCATAACACCCTCCAGACAGACACTCTCCTGCTGGCTTCTGGTGGCCAGGCCAGCTCGCTGCCTGGAAGGGAGCCGCAGACAAAGGCTGATGCAACAAGAGACTGACTGGGCCAAGCGAACAGCTGGTTGTTTTGAACCCACTGAGCCAAACCTCCCGATGAACAAGTGGAAGGACGGAAGCATGCTCACTCCCCAGTGAACGGCTCACCCAGAGCAGCAGCCGATAGCGAGATCAATTCTAGGACCGGCAGGATGTCTCCCAAGGGCTCAGCCTTGCGGTGGGATGTCGAATCTCTGGGCCAAACTCGGCCCCGGTATAAGCAGCAGCAACTCCCACTGACTTGCCAACATGCCAGAGCGAATGGGGTTCCCAGCCCAGACATGCCACCCAACACACTCCAACTCCATCTCCCCTAATGCACACCCCGCTAGCTGTAATCAGTACTGCAGCTTGGGAACAGATTCCTTCCTTTCCCCACCCCTGGGCCTTGCCAGAGGGTGCATGGAATAATGACGCACAGCGGGAGGGAAGCAAAGCCCAGGACAGTCGAGTGGGTTGCAAGAAGTTCATTGAGCTGTGTAATTAAGGGCTGCATCCTGGCGTTTGGATTCTTAGGATCTGGCCCTAAGAGGACTGGCCATACAGAATGGTGCTTAGCATTTGAGACAGCAACTTGCATTTCCAACTGCTGTACAAACAGTAGCTAATCAAACCCGGCAGCACCCTAGCGGGGCAGGAATTAGGCACTGGAAGATACCCCAGGCTGCACGACTCCTCACTGGCACAGCTGGGATTACAATGCTGGAATTCCTGCCTCCCAGCCCCATGCGGCCTTCAAACAATCTCCCAGGGTAACCCACCTGACTCCCCAGCTCCCAGAGCCACGGGGAAACGCTGGCAGCGTGTGGTGAGAGTTATCTGGGAGCTGCAGTGGAAGGCGGGCAGGGGTGACAGAAGGGTGGGGAGGAAGAGGGCTTAGCTGGAGAGGCTTGATAGCAATGGAGAGAAGAGAACCAAAACAAGGCTCTTACTGGCAGAGACGAGGTCCATGTACTGGCAGAGGGCATGGAGCAGCAGCCGCTCAAAGCTGGAACAAAAACAAACCAACCGGGCTTTGGTCACAAGTGGTTCTTTAAACTCCACCATCAGAGCTCAGGGATCAGAAGCTTCACAGCACGTTAGGCCCCCGGTGGCAAACGAGCTATTGGTCTTGATAACCTGAGACTGGAGCTAATCCGGCCATCTCTCTCTGAAGAGGACGGGTTGGTTGATTCCCTCTCCAGCGAGCGATCTGAGATCAGATCCGACTCTTGGGGTATGTCTACACTGCAGTCAAACACCCGGGGCTGGCCTGTATCAGCTGACTCAGGCTCGCGGGGCTATACAATCAGTGGAGACAGCCAGGCTTGGGCTAGAACCTGTGCTCTGGGACCACTGAGGGGGAAGGGTCCCACAGCCCGGGCTCCAGCCCAAGGTTGGACATCTACACTGCCATTTTATAGCCCAGCAGCCTGAGCCCTCCCGAACGCGAGTCAGCTGCCATGCGCCAGCCACGGGCGTTTTCTTGCAGTGAGGACATACCCGCGTTTGGTGGACGGAAGGCAAACGACCGGGTTCGAGGGGATGCAGGCAGAGGCCTCCGATCCCCACAAGTCCATTGCAACAGGCATCTCCGAAGAACTCGAGTCAAAGGCCCCTTCGTGGGGCAGCTCTGTCTGGTTCGTGCCTGCAGTCTGCAAGATCAGCCCCAAAGATCCTGTGTACCTGACACCTTGACAGATTGACCGTCACACACACCCAGTGACCTCATTACTAAGTGGGAACCAGCTCAAGCAGGAGTCACCATGCAAAACCCTCCCTCCTCCCACTTCCTCTGGGACAGGAGCAAAGGTGTCCTGCCGTCCCAGCAGCAAGGAAAAAGGATTACCTATTGTCCATCATTGCTGTGTAGACAGAGTGAGGGGTGACGGAGAAAAAGGCCAGTAACTCCTCCTCCAGACACTCCAGGGTCCCCTGCAAAAATGAGAATCAAGTGGGGGTGACAATATGGCTGAGAAGCTATTTGGAAGCTTGAAACCAGCATCAGGTCACCACCTGCAGGCTAGGAGCTGCATGCATCCAGAAAGCTGAGCCAGCCAACAGGCCGACCCGCAAACAGAATGCCACAAGATCCCAGACATCTCCCTCCAAAGTGGATGGTTGCCAGGATATTGGGTCTTCCATACCCCTGGGCAGCAAGCTTCCATGCCTGCGTGGTTTGTGTTCCCTACATGAAGTCACATTCTGCTGCCTCACCTGTGCAGGCAGGGAGTTGATGCACACAGCTGGTCACAGGGACCGGGCCTCAGGAACATCTCTGCTTTTGTAATCAGAGCCAGGTTTGGGAAAAAAATAAATATAATGTAGCATTTCAGATTTGACTCCTTGGCGGGTGGCAGATCAGCGAGTCCCAGCAGACCAGGCCCAGATGTCAGGGCAGGTGGGCCCAAATGAGCAAATTCAAGGGGGGAGGCAGGGGTGATAATGGCCTGTCAGAGGGGGTGTGATGGGACAAGGGGCCAGCTGCCCAGTAAGATTGCCCTGGAACTGCTGTTCCAGGAGAGTAACAGAGCTGGCTGGGAGTGCAAAGCTGCACAAAGCAGGATCACCAGAGACCCCTGGGGAGGGAGGCTGTGAAACCCTGGGACAAAGGCTGGGTTGAGGGACCGTTTCACTTGCTTACGTTTGGACAATAAACCCAATCACAAGGATGCTGGGCATGGAAAGCTGGGGAGAAGCCATGCCATGTCACAGTGCCTTCCTGGAAGCCTTTCCAGACCCACTGAGAGCAACTGACCAAGATGTAGGACATGAAGCACCAGCCTTTAGCTGTTACCAATGGAGAGGGAAAATCATTCCAATCAGGGCATTGGATCAGGACCCCTGGGTTCTGTTCTCAGTTCTGCCACTGATCCATGCAGGATCTTGGATAGGTCACTTCTCTCCGCAGCCTCAGTCTCTTTAATCTCTGTATTTGCCCAGTGCCCAGCATAATGAGCTCCTGATCTCCAGTGGGGCATCTAGGCTCTGCTGCAATAGAAATCATTCAGATGGGTGTTTGGTGGGGATGGAACGGGGGAACCTCGTTCTCTGCAGCATGAGGCAAGCAAGAATCCAGGAGCAGCAGCTCCCAGCTCCAGAGCTTGTGAAAAGAAACCTCAGCGCTGGTGTGTTTCCCCTAAACAGTCTCTCCCAGAAAATATTTACATTCTCGTTAACAACGGAGCAGCAGCTAAAAGGCCTCCGGGAGGTTACTCTGGCTTCCTGTCTCCCGCCTGCCCCCGAGTATAATAAGCGAGGAGCTACAGCACAGCTCTTTGGAGCACCGTGACCTAAGAAATTAGTGGCAAAGATTGGTGCAATTGGAGAGCAAATCAGAGCAGCCACGCCAGGCACAAGCTGGAGCTGCTTTTAAAAGCAGGTGCTGAACAGAGGCAGCAGAAAAACAGACCAAGAAAATTATAGCACTGAAAATCAAAATCAAAGGAAGCGGAGACCAAGGGCCCTTCGGTAACAAGGGATAATTGTCAGTGTATGCCTACCGATGTGCCTGGTCATACCAGATCAAGCGTAATGTCTTCCTCCCATCAGTGGAGGTGCATGATGGGAGCGTGTACCCAGCTGGTAAAGTCTAGATACCCTTGTGGATCCTTCATGTCATTCCCTTCTCCACCTCCTTCCTACAGACCTTGCTCCCTTCTTTCTTCATGTTTGATCATCAAACTCTCGCAGAGACAACTTCATCCTCTGGCGCGAACCAGGGCTAAGGCGTCAGATGCCCTGGAGGGATAAATCCTCCGTCTCCGGAATAGGAACAGCACAGGCTGGGGCAGAGCAAGCTTCCCCGCAGCGGCCTGCCAGCGCCCCTCAACCCAACGTGGAGAGGCCGCCTCTATGGAGGAGGCTGGCGCTGTCTCAGTGCCCCACTGGTTCCTTGGTTTTCCCCCGCCGAAGTTTATTAATAAAGGGAGGGCAGCTGTGATTTGTGTGATGTGGACACACCAGGAGCTAGCTGGAGACCTAGAGACACTCGACCCTCTAGCCCCCGCCCCCAGGGACTGAACAGCCAGCAGATGACAAGAATTCAGTCCTTACTGACCCGGATCACATTGAAAACCCACAACCTACAGATTACAGGCTCCATTTCCCTCCTGCCCCACTCCCAAAATCTCTGAGCCACTCTGTTCTTGAGCTGACTAGACTTCTCTGGTCACACCCTGTGCACTGCGATTTCGACACCTGATTCCCATGAACTGTACTGGGTGGAAACTTCAACCCAAGCTTCCTGTGTCAACTGCAGCATCTTCAGCATCCACAATCTGCAGCTCGTGACGTACCTGTGCTGGCCTTAAGCTAACGAGCTTGCAAAAAATAGCAGCGAGGCCAGGGCGGCTTGGGCTGCGCAAGCCCACCTCACCCCCCGGATACTTGCTTGCTTGTGCGGCTGGCACCACCGCGTCCTCACTGCTCTTTTTAGCGAGCTGGCCAGATTGAAGCTAGTGCAAGTACATGAACATGAGCTGCAAATCACACCGCCAGCTGCAGCGTAGAGATACCCTCGTGTAGCAAGCTGCAGCCGCATCAGGAAGAGTCAGAACAAGCCTTGGCTCCACCCACTGGATAGAAGGGGCATGTGGGTTACCGACCCTATAGGAAACTTCTAGTTCTAGATGGGAGCTTCCGGCACCTGGACAGTCACCAGACCAATGACGTGACAGGGTCTCACCATGGGGATCCTGCCTCGTCTCAGCGTGGTGCGAAGCCGGCGGCTGATGCGCTGGAAACATTCTTTCGGCGTGTAAGCAGGATGCTCTGGAGGAAACAAAGAAACAGATTTAAAGAATCGGCATTCCCAGTGTTGTTCAGGGATGAGACAGCTGTAGCCGCAAGCCAGGGACTTGAATGAATGTTGGAGAAACCAGGCAAATGCAGAGCGAAGGTCGCACTCCTCAAACAAGGTGCACAAGTCACCATAACTCTGCCCCAGTGGGGATGTCAGCCAGGCATCTTCTCTTCTTAGCATGTGAAGGGCACAAGAGGCAGCAACCTTCCCCACCAGTGGAGGGGCATGCCGAGGGCAGCTTGGCCAAGAGGGATCTGGAACAGGAAGAGGCACGCTGTGCCAGTCACCCCAGTGATTCCCTGCAGCTGCAAGCCCCGTACGCCTGGAATCAGGAAGACACAAGTTGCTTCCCCCCTGTCCTGAACCAGCCTCAGCGCCAGCACAGGGATGAACTTACCCCCATAGCTCCGGGTGGCATGACCTGCCCCCTCTCACCTCTGTGGGGTCCGGGCAGACATACCTGATAAACGGAGGCTCAATATTAACTAGGTCCCTGCTGATTCTTTTAGCAGAGAGGGCAGGTTGTCGCGCTTCTCTGGCACAGAGTGATGTAGGAGAAAATGTGAGCAGGGTGCAGTGGGGCAGCAAGGTGATGCCCGGGAACGTAACACCCACTTCAAGATTCAAAGTCACCCCTGTCCAGCCTTTCCTTCCCCTCTCGGTACCTTTCCACGTGTCCTCTGCTTTAACAGGGAGCTTCCTCTTGTGCTTCTTCTTGGCCTCTTCCTCTAGGTAGAGCAGGACCCGCTCCTGTTCCTCCCCAGACCGGTTCATGAAGTCATTCCAGATCTGCGAAGGGAAGTCACACCACAATTTCAGTGTAGACGTGTGCAGGGGACTCCAATTCAGTCACCAGAACTCGGCCACTCCAGGTACATGCAACGCCGTAGTCTCCTGGCACCACCTGAAACTTGGATAAATTACGGCCTCTCTAGCCAACCCCCCCAGTCCTTGGAGCTTGTCAGATGGGGCCAATCTGTTCAGTGAAGTCCTCGGGCAGCCTAGAAAATCCACAGCCTGCAAGGAACAGAGATGAACAGACTACTTGACAGGAAGAGCCTTGCCTGCCTAGCCCTGCCCTTGTAACAATGCCTGAGTTCGCACCAGAGATACTGGATCAGAGTTTGAAGCTCGTAACACCAGGGCTCTGAACTTGATACTTATTCATTCTGGGAGCAGCTCAAGGTGTTAGTTCTGATCCAAGAAGTTCTGCATGGCCCTGGTGTGGCAGTGATCCCCCTCCAGGAGGTTTTGCTGTCAGCTCCTGGGGCTGAAAGCGCTGGAACCTGTGGCAGGATATTCTCAGAACGGGCTTTGGACTTTGCTCCTCTGGCCCCTGGAATATTCTAGGACTCTCCGCAAGATGCATCTGTCTGGGTCAAGCGGTTCACTGATCACCAGATTGTTTCGGGGGCAGGAAATGCAGGTTTGCTGTCTTTTTCGGACCCAACGTATTAATGGGTTTTTTAAATGAATGTGATGAGTGCTGAAATGATGGTGCCATTTATGAAATCCAACTGATCTCAGAGCTAAAGGCTAATTAGTCTTTCTAACCCACACCACACTTTGATCATAAAAGGCTACAGGCATACTGGGTTTATTACTGGTTTCAGTCCTGCACTCACAACACCAGCCCTGCCCCTGGATCTTAGATAAGCTGGGGAGAGATCAGCTTTCTCTGCCTTAAAAAGCACACACGAGCAAGGTGATGCTCTATTCTATTGGTCAGATTCTAAGGCCAGAAGGGACCATTGTTATCATCTAGTCTGACCTACTGTATAACACAGGCCAGAGAACTCCCCGAAAATAACTCCTAGAGCAGAGCTTTTAGAAAAACATCTCGTCTTGATTTAAAAATTGTCAATGGTAAAAAATCCACCACAATCCTGGGTAAACTGTTCCAACAATTAATTATTCTCACCATTAAAAATTTACACCTCATTTCCAGTCTGAATGTGTCTAGCTTCAACTTCCAGCCAGTGGATCCTGTTACACTTTTCTCTGCTAGCTTGAAGAGCCCATTATTAAATATTTGTTCCCCTGTAGCAGGGTGGTCACCTGCTCCTGCCTTAAAAGGCTTAAAACAGCCCGGGGAGAGGGCTGTGGCAGGGAAGGAAAAGCGGGGCTGATTGGGAGAAGCAGCCTCAGCTGGGGGCCATGCGCCAGTCAGGCGGCAGCTGGCCCTTATAAGAGGACAGTGGGCCAGGAGCACACAGAGTCTCCTCTAGCTGTGGAGGGAGATGGGCCTCGCTGCTGGGGAGCGTACCAGGGTACCTGAGGTGAGGTAGTGCTGGGGAAGGCCAGAGGAGCTGGGAGGCTCCAGACTGGAAAAGCCCCAGGCTGCAGGCCTGGCAGACGACCTAAAAGAGGGTACTGGGGTTGCAACAGGGCAGCCCAAGGGTAGGCAGAGGCAGCGGGTCCAAACCCCCCTTGCCTATGACGACTGGCTTATACAGACTGCAGTTGACCCCAGTGAAAGGGGGCTAGATGGGGACTGGCAGTAGTCCATAGGCTGCGGTAAGGTGGGGATAGAAGGTGGGGGGTTCCCTGGGGAGGGGAGACGAGACCCAGATCTGTGGGGTATTGCCTGGAGGGGCAGCACCCCAGGTAAAAGGGCACCAGTGTCCGGGAGGGACACAGGGGCCAGCGATGGCGAGACACCAGCAGAGGGTGCTCCTGAGCTGGTAAAAAGAGAATTCCCAGACAGCCAGCAGGAGGCGCCGCAGGGGTGAGTCGTGCCCCGTTACATCCCCATGTAGGTACTTATAGACTGAGGATCAAGTCACCCTTGAATCTTCTCTTTGTTCAGCTAAATGGATCGAGCTCCTGGAGCCTGTCATTATACAGTGTGTTTTCTAATCCTTTAATCCATCTCATGGCTCTTCTCTGAACCCTCCCCAGCTTGTCAACGCTCTTCTAAAATTAGGGACACCACAGCTGGACACAGCATTCCAGCAGAGGATGCACCAGTGCCAAATACAGAGGTAAACTAACATCTCTGCTCCCCTCTTTATGCATCCCAGGATGGTATTAGCCCTTTTGGATATAGAGTTGCACGAGGAACTCACGTTCAGCTGATTATCCACATCCCCCCCACAATCTTTCTCAGAGTCCCTGCTTCCCAGGAGAGAGTCCCCCGTCCAGGAAATATGGCCTGCGTTCTTTGTTCCTAGATGTATACCTTTGCATCTAGCTATATTAAAAATGCATATTGTTTGCTTGGGCCCAGCTTGCTAAGCTATTCAGACTGCTCTGTATCAGTGACCTGTCCTCTTCATTACTTACCACTCCCCCAATTTGTGTGTCACCTGCAAATGTTCAGAGAGGATTTTACAATTTCTTCCAGGTTATTCATCAAAATGTTAAACCACGCAGGACCAAGAACAGATCCCTGCAGAATCCTACTAGAAATGCACCTGTTCAATCATGATTCAAAGTTTACAGTTACATTTTAAGATCTATCAGTTAGCCAGCTTTTAATCCACTTCATGTGTGCCGTGTTAAATTTGATATCTTTCTAGTTTTCTTTTTTTTAAACAAAATGTAGTGCAGTACTAAGTCAAATGTCTTACAGAAGCCTAAGTATTACATCAACACTATTACCTTTATCATCCAAACTTGTAATTTCAAAAAAAAAAAAAGTTAATTTGAGAGGATCTGTCTTCCATAAACCCATGTTGAATGGCGTTAGTTATACTACCCTCCTTTAATTCTTTAATAAATCAAGTCCTGTATTAGCTGCTACGTTATCTTGCCCTGGATCGATATCCTACTGACAGGCCTATCATTACCTAGGTCATCCCATTTACCCTTTTTAAATATTCTAGTCTTCTGGAACTTCCCCAGTGTTCCAAGACTTTTTGAAAAAAAATCAATATTAACAGTCCAGAGAGCTCCTCACCAGCTCTTTTAAAACTCTTGAATGCAAGTTATCTGGACCTGCTGATTTTTAAGATACCTAACTTTAGTAGCTGTTATTTAACATCCTCTTGAGATACAAGTGGAATGGAAAGAGTGTTATGATAGGAGAGGACCCCCCTCCCCTAAATACAGAACAGAAATATTTATTGAACACTTCTGCCTTATTATTGACAATTCTACCAGTTCCATCTAATAATGAACCAATATCATTGTTAGGATTCTTTTTGTTACTAATATACTTAAACAACTCCTTCTTATTGTCCTTAATTCTGCTGGCCATATATTTCTCCTTTTGTCCCTTTGCTTCCCTTATCAATTTTCTACCATTCTTAGCTTCTGATTTATATTTTTTACTATCAACCTTTCATTTTTTATTTTATTTTTTAATTTTTTATAGTTGCCTTCATCTCCCCTTTAAATCAAGCTGGGTTTTTAACCAATATAGCCTTCTTCGATTGTGGCTTTTGGGGCATCTAGTAAAATTTTTCTAAGCAATTTCCAATTATCACTCACTCTTTTTTTATTAAATTCTTCCTCGGAGATGACTGGGCTCATAATTGTCTTCCACATTGTGAAACTGCATCTTTTAAAGCACCAAATATATATACTGATGGTCTGGACTTTATTCCGTTTGCACATTTTAAACAAGTCATGATCACTTGTACTTAAGCTACCATTAATTTTTAATTCTGTGATCTGTCAAGATGGGGTCTAATGTAGAATTCCCCCCAGCTGGATGCAACACTTTATGAGTTAGGAAATGGTTATCAATAATATTTAGAAATGTCACAGATGGTTTAGTACTGACAGCATGAGATATCCAGCTTGAGTCACTCAAACTGAATCCCCCATGATCACGTAGTTTTCCCCGACACACACACACACGTTATAGGGAGGTGCATAAGGAGATGGTCATCCTGCTCCCTAGTGTGATTTGGTGATCTGTACCAAACACCAACTAATACCATATCTGGTGCTTTATCTGTTAGACACTGATCCATAAACATTCAACATCGTTTTCTTCCACGTTATCAGCAACTCAAAAACAGGTAATGCCATTTTTGACAGAGTGCACTCTCCCTTTTTTGCCCTCTTGATCCTTCCTAAATAGATTAGAACCATTGATTTTAACATTCTACTCCTGGGACTCATCCCATAAGGTTTCAGTCATGCCATCTAGATCAAATGTATGCTCCTGAATAAGCAACTTCAATTCCTCTTGTTTGTTACCCAGGCTCCTAGCATTGGTGTACAGGCAATTAAATAATTTCTTCTCTTCATGTCCTTTGGTCCCTTGATTAATTTTTGTCCTCGGCATCCTGATTCTGTACTAAATGATGCTTGTATCTTCCCACCTTTTTACTCTCCCTGTTTGTTAGCAGTTTAATGCCCTCCTGACCATTCAAGCCAGCCTGTGCCTAAGAAAATCAGCTCCTCTTCTACCAAGATAGAGGCCATGCAAACTATACAGCCCCCTCTTCCAATAGAAGGTGGTCCAATGTTCCACAAAACCATACACCATTTACCTAACCAGCAGTTCACTTCCAGCATCTTCTGCCTTGCCTTCTCCTTTGTTTCTGGGATTTTTGAGAAGATCACTTGGACACTCCTCTTCTTCAGCACGCTTCCAAGTTCCCTGAAGACATCTTCTATCAGTGAGATCTCTCACAACACGGTATCATGAGTGCCTCTATGAACCAGCACCAATGGTTCCTTTTCCACAGAGTTCCAAATCCGATCCAGCCTTAGAGAGACATCTCAGGGCTTGGCTCCAGGAAGGCAGCACACCATTCTGGTTTCTGCTCGTCCCTTGCAAAATGTTGTTCTGATTCTTCTGAGCATTGAATCCCCAGCAAAGATAATCTGTCTTCCTCAGACCTTTGGAGAACTTTGTGGACAAGCTTGATTTTTCTGACAGGTTGGTCTAAGCTGCCATCCACACGCGTGTCCTGTACATCTCTCCATTCCTTGGGGCCTGCTGGATCTTGAGAGATTTTCTTCAGTTTCCATGTTAAGGACCTGACATTGATTGACAACTTTTAGCAGCATGGAATTCCTCTTGGTCCTCTGCTCTGGTGGTCCAAGCTTGCCCATCCTCATCTATCACCAGCTGTGTAGAATGCCACTGTGACCTCTTGCCTCTGGTGATTACATATTGCTCGGTCTCTCACTGCTTGGTGGCCAGCTCCTTTCTTCCTTGAACCTGGAGTACTGATGTTTCCTGAGCCTGGCTGTCTTGGAGCTCCTCAGCTTCTGATTTTCAGTAGCGTCTCTACTTGCCCCTCCAATCTAAGAATTTTCTCCTCCGGCACAGCCACCAACTTGCCCAGGAAGTCCCTTCCGGCTTCAGGCAGGAAAGAAAACATGACATCTGTAGCAGGTCACCACCACGTGTTTACCGCTGGCCACCTAAAAATAGCATGTAGAGCTGCACCTGGGAGAGCGCCTCTCACAACTCCCTCTGCAACTGTCCTGTTAGGTGCCTCCATTCATGGCTCTCAAGTGACTTTATGCCAAGTCTCCCTGCTTAGCTCAGCTCTGCCCTGCCCCTCATCACCACTCAGACTTCAGACAGACGAAACGCCACTCACCAAGTCCCGCTACCTCCAACCCCAGAGTCCGCAGCTACACCTTCCGACACTCCCCTGGGAGCTGCCTCTGTTCGCGTGCAATGTTAAAAGCCTAAACATCTAAGATAGGAGAGAGAAGAAAACCTTTCCAAACTTCTTGTTACAAAGCAGATTGCTACATCTTGTCCAGCCAACGGCAGGATGAAGGTTTGGCAAGAGACCTGTTTTGATGGAAGTGACAGCGCACTGCAGGTCACACAGGGTTAAACATCAGGCACGAAGCAAGTTGTCTGATGCTGCAAGTGTCAAAAGTGGCATGGAGAAGGGCCAGACGAGGCAAGCCTTGATTTAGCAAGCACCCGTTTAGCAGGAAGTGCTGCTTGCTTTGATAGAGAACTTCCTGAAACTGACAGCTCCTTTGAGCCAGACCCTGAGCAGGAACTAGTTTGGCGCTGGAGTTTTTGCTCCTATGCACAAAGCCTCAGTATCTCTGCTCCATCCACAGGCAGCCTCCAAGTCAGGACATTAGCCTGCCACATGATTTTTAAAGCTTGGTCCGACTACAGACCAGAAAAAGACCGACAAGGGAGCAGAAGGTGGTTTTCACCGTGCAGGAGAGATGGTCTCTGCAGACCTAGATGGAGCGTTGCATGTTGGGATGCAGTGCCACTAAAACACCGCAAGTTCCATTATGAACTCGGGCAACTTGCTGGGCACACCAAGGCTTTACCTGGTGTGACCATTCACCAGGCAGAGCATGGACAGCAACGTTCTACCAGCTGTTTTTGTTTCCAGCCGTCACCCGCATATTGGCTGCCTCACACACCTGGGGAAGGTCTCAAATGCCAGGGCTGGAGACGCTGAAGAATGTTCCTCGCAGGACACGCTCCCTCCCAAGGCACCTGGTATGAATGGGCATCCCGGGCGGTTAAGTCAGTGAAGCAGGTGGTGGGCATAACAGCTCATTACGACATCCTACTCCAAGCCCTGGCCACTGAAGTCCTTCCCCAGTTAATTACCCATTTAATCTCCTCACAGAGGAATGATTCTAGCTTCCCGGGGATGAGAGACCAACAAAAGCTGCCCTCTATTAAGTGAGCTTCTCAAATGATGCCCCTGCAGCATCTGCTTGTCATACAGCCCCAGGGGGCAGGAAGGCAGACAGAAACCATCACTGACTGGGCGAGTCAATAGCAAGCATTAAAACGCTGAGTTTCTTCACAGCTCTCTCAATTTCACTGCCTTAACGGAGGAAGCCATTGCGTTAGCTAGCTAACGGTTTTGCTGGGGCGAGCCCCCCCCGTTCAGCTCATTGTGCAGGCTCTTGAGGGTTTCCTGGCACAGGCCGCGCCTGCAGCTGCGACGGGCCCATGGACGGGGAGCTTGGCAATGTGCCACACTGTCTACATCACCCCAGGGAACTTGCCTCCCACCCTTTGACCCCCAAAAATAGACCAGGGAATTGGCTTCTTAGCTGTTGCAACGTCAACCCACCCCCTCCTGCCGTCCCATCAGCTGGAGGCTGTTTCTGGACAGAAAAGAGACTCCAGTGTGCATGAAGACATGGCCTCCCATCCCCATCTATAAATACTCCAGTGATCACCCCAGGATAGACCTGTCATAGGACAGCCAGGAGCTTGGACTTTAGAGATCATCTCCAAGGCCCCTGCCCAAGGGAAGCCTGAGAAGGCACATCACAGCTCTTCCCCCAGGCAGAGGAGTTTGCAATTGTCTGGCCCAAAGGTCTCCTGGTAGGGATTTCCGCTGCTTTTGAGGGAGGATACGGAGCCTTGCTCCAGCCACAGGAAGCCCAAGTAAACGGAAGACCCCTGAAAGCCAAGGGAGCACCAATCTTTCCACGCGTGCCAGCTTTGCCTGGAGAAGTCGCACAGCCCAAGGCAAAGGAGGGTGCATGAGGAATTGTGCTTAATTTGCATGCCAGCACTTGGCTCTCAGACGCGCTTGCTAATTGCATATGAAGCGAAGGCTCCCGCCCCACTCAGGAGCCCATGAGGTGCCCTGGGAAGGGCAGGATGGAAGTGCTTCAGGGAGGTTAAAAGAACCTTGAGGACCCAGTCTTCATCACTTTCCGACCAGCTAGACCCCCTGGCAGCATGGACTAGTGGGCTGAGCTCAAGGCTGGGAACCAGGAGCTCCTAAGTGTTGTTCCTGGCTCCGACACAGACTCACTGCGCAGTCCTGGCCAAGTCACCTCCTTACAGCACCGGGAGGCTGAGTGTTAGCCAATGTTCCTACAGCGCCTTGGCAGGAACAGCAAGGATCTGAGGTCCAAGCGTTACTGTTACTGGACACTTTATGCCCAGGTTTCCCAGCGTGAGCCTGAAGCGGGTACGATCACCCGCGACACCTACCTCCATGTACGTCTCGTTGTTGCAGGCCTCTGTGAAGATGCTTGGGGCAGCAGAGTGAGTGAGTTCCCCATCATCATTCCCACATTCGTCCTGCTCCAGCAGAGTCATCAGGTACCGAGCTAGGAAACAGAACCCTTTAGAAACAAGGAGCGGAAGCTCCAGGCAGAGCGGCTCTCAGCAAGAGGGTTTCTGATTATTGGGAGTGACTCCAGCTTGAGTCCCAGCCTGGGGATCTAATGCTGACACAAAGCAAGAGACACACCTGCACCAGAGCTAGGGCTGGGCAGGACAAAGAAGGGGAATGGGGAAGGAGAGCTACCCAGGAGCCATGCCCTGCACTGGAAACATAAGCAGGAATTGTTTTTAGCCCCTTCCCATCCTCCCAAATCAAGGATCAAAACATTCAACATGACAGACTCAAAGTCATCAAATCCCAATACGGGATTGTTCCCTACAGTACATTTCCCGGAGCTGTCCCAACCAGGTTTGGAGCCTCCACCATATCCTCTGGGAGACTGTTCTTCCCTCGAACAGCTCAGACCACTCTGAACTTGTCCTCTCCTGAGATTTCCTCAGTTTCATCCCATTACTTCCCACCAGATCTCACATCAGGTAAGATCACTCACTCCACAGCTGGGCAGAACTGGATCAGCTTCACACCACCGCATCATGCAAACCCATCGCTAGCTGACTAGTCAAGATAGCGCCTTGGAAGTCATTAAACAGAGGGGCAAAATCTACAGGAAAATACATCAGGAGGGGCGGAGTCTGAAGACAGAGGGGCGGAGATCAGAGGGAAATATATTAGGGGACATTTTAAATCAGCAGCAGCACATTGGCCAAGGTTTGCACAGGTGACCATGCAATATGACACACCTTAAATGGAGCTGGGTTTCACAGGGTGGATGCTCAGCACTTCTGGAAGTCAGGCCTCTTTAAAAGTTCTCAAGTTGAGTACCCAACCCCACCACCCCAAAAGGCACTTGACACCTATGAAAGCCTTGGCCTGTTTGTCCAGAGGGCTCCGCGCAGTCACCTCTGCAGTGACTAGCTTCAAGCTATCTCAGTTATGTACCTGGCACACAGCCTGGCGATGAGCAAGTGCAGGCAGGGCCGGATTCCACCAGCCTCACTCACCATGAGCCATCCCTCATGCTGCAAGCAGCTCCCAAGGAAACAGACCGGACTACCCCAGGGGTAAGAGACTGCTTAGTGCTTAGGGGGAAGAGGCTGCATGAAGCACAAAAGGGCTTGCTCCTTACTGTTCTCCAGCCTCTGAAGGCTCTTGCGCCCCTTGGCCTTTGGGATGAGGTCGGAGTTGCGGATGGCCTGGTTAACGTAGTACTGCTTCCGTTTGGAGGGGGAGAACCTCTTGGATGGGGAGCTCCCCAGAGGAGGCAGGCAGTCTTCAATCCTCCTACAGAGGCACAGAGAACACACGGTGAGAGGTGTCACCTGCCAAGGGCTCTGTTCAGATCCTGAGACCACCACAGGCTGGCCCAGCTGAAAGGTTCTGGGGACCTAGGACAGGAATAGTAAGAAGAGGGGACTGCAGGGCAGCCTTGAGGATCGGATCAGCTGTGTCTGGGGAGCCCAGGGCTGGAATAGCAGTGGGCCTGCAGGTCAGGACTGTGGGCCAGCACGAGAGCTCTGAATGGGGAACCCAGGGCGGGGGTAGAGGTCAGGACTGAGATGCATCAGCAGAGCTAAGCAGAGGAGAAGCCCAGCAGAGGAAAGCCCAGATAACACCTATTCTCATCAGGCTTTGTGCCAGTCAATGACAAGTTCACCCGACATCACAGTTAAAAGACTCCCAAAACAACCACCTCCGTTCTTCAGGCTTCAAAACCCAACTTGATTAGATTGCTTCAGTGGCCATGTAGTAACAACAAGATTTGATGCTTAATTAACACTACCAACATGCAAGTAAATAGACAGTCTGGTTCTCGGCAGAATGAAGACAAATTCCATCTGGCGGCCCAGATTCTCAGACACCCATAGACTCTGTTATTAAAACAGAGCAATGAGCGCACTCAGATGCCGGGTTAGAGAATGTGCTCATATGGGGGCTAGACCTGGGCAGGCAAGCCTCCACAACCAGCCAGGGGAGCGATCCCCAGAGGGACGTGTTTTGTTCTGCTACACCAGTGCAAATCTAGAGGAATTCAACTGGGATTTATGTAAGCATGAAAGGAGACTTGGGCTTGGTGATTTCTCAATGTTCCCTGGTGCGATGCATGAGCGTGGATGAAGTGAGACAGCTCCCTCCAGTAAGGGGTGACTACATCAAACCCTGACTTACACTTCTTCTAGCAACATTCCAGGGGGCATCAACCATAGCCGCTGACCCTCTGCACTTAGGCAAGGATCTCAAAGCACTTTAGAAAAGTTAAGTACTACGGTCTCAACTTGAGAGATTTAAAAAAACCCAGCCACATAGAGCACTTTAGGCCAGCTCTGGAAGTTTTGCACTGGCATAACCATTTTGGTTGGGGTATCATTTTTCACCAAAATAGTTATACCTGGACAAAAGCCCTAGTGTTGCTGTATCAAGATGCCTTATACCAGTATATGTTGTTCCTGTCAGGGAAGGGGAATAAGCTATGCTGGTATAAGGCACCTTTATACTGGTATAACTGTGTCCACGCCAAGGCTGTGCAGCTTGAACTGTATCACTGTAGTTAAAGCGGTAGCCCTTGTCTAAACACACAAGTCGTATGTGATTTGTCCAATTTCACGAAGCAGAGCTAGGAACAGAACCCAAGATCCCAGATTTTCTCCCCCGATCTAAAATGGGAGTGGAGGTGGTTCATAACCCTGAACAAAACATTATGGTTGTTCTTTCAAAAGGTTACAACTGAACATTGACTTAATACGGCTTTGAAACTTTACTCTGCAGAAGAAAAATGCTGCTTTTAACCATCTTAATTTAAATGAAACAAACACAGAAACAGTTTCCTCACCTTGCCAAAAAAATTTTTTTTTAAACTTTCCCTTATTTTTAGTTTACATTTAACACCGTACTGTACTGTCTCTGCTCTTTTTGTGTATCTCTGCTGCTCCCACCTGATTGCGCACTTCCAGTTCCAAACGAGGTGTGTGGTTGACGGGTCGGTTTGTAACGTTGGTGTTTGTAACTCTGAGGTGGTAACTCTGTTGGTGGCAACGTTATCCTAACCCCTATAGAAAAGTCACAAGAGAAAGCGTGCACATCTGGAAAGTACAGGAAACCCATTTAGAGATAAAGCTACAAGCTGAATACCTTGCCTGCAGAGCAACCCGAAATTAGTGTATAAAAGGCCGAGCAGGGAAACAGAACTACTTGACCTTCAAAGTGAACACAACTGATAAATGAATGAGATACTCACTTGCTACTGCCCTCTTTGATACAGAGCAAAATGATTCCATCTACATCTACCTGGGCTGTTTGCCAATAACAAGCATTATTGCAATTAAGCACCCAAACAGCGAAAGAAAAAGACCCAGCTTTGATGTATTCACACACTACAGGCTGCTTTGCTTTTATTGATCATATAAATCCATTTTCAAGGCCAGGGTTTTTATATTATGCACAGATACAGACACGGTCTAGCTCTGAGGTAGTTATTTTTTGTCAAGGTCCAGATTTCTTGGTCAAGGTATAGTTAAGGTCCAGACCCCAGAGAGAACAACAAAATAATGATCATAGCAAGTAAATAAAAAGATTTCAGGGTCTGTTCTAAAGCATCTGGCAGTCCAGATTTGGCCCACAGTCCATCTACTGACTACCCCTGGTCTAGCTGAACCTCTTGATAAATATTAAACCCAAGCATGAATTTAAGAGGCGTTCACTGAAGATTTAAGTTGACTGTTTTTCTTTAAGAGCACAAAACTTTCCATCTGATTATTTTTAAAACCTGCAACTGTTACAATTAACACCCAAGATCAACATAATTTAAGACGTTTCCCTATTCCCCACCCCCCACCCCACCCCCTCAATATCTCTGTGCATCTGGCAGCACACTGTGCGCAATCAGTTTCACTGTTTGTTTCCCCTTTGGTTTGTGTGGGTTTCCACACAGCAACAGGAGACAAACATTTAAAAAAAAATTAGAAAATTGCACAGCTGTAAAAAAAACAAAAACAAAACAAAACTAGCAGAAGGACCGGGGGGGCTGAAACTTTTTTTTTAATTGTTTGAAACTAACTACATTTCAATTGTCTCTTTAAACAGAGACTAGTTTGCAAGCTTACAGGAGCAGAGGACGGCCAGTACTCCCACCCCCACCCCCACCCCCTCCAATGCTGTTTCCTCCAGTTACTACACCCAGCTTTGTGTCATTGAGGTCCTGCTCTTCAGACCAAGGGGGGCCTTCCTTGCACCTGGGGATGATCACAAGGGCACCCACGCAGCATCAGCCAGGTGAGTCACAACATTATGGTGCTTGGGGCCAAAGTTCATGCTCACTTTAAATCTATATCCTCAGCCTGGAGTACTGCAGATCGGAGATCGTCTCTCCCCCACGTCTCTCCAAGGTATCCGGCAGTCGTCTTTTTACTCATCCTCATCCGAATCAGGCCAAGGGCAGGAACCCCCTTGGTTCTAGGACTACCTTCCTGCAATAGAGCCAGGAGAGTCCCTGAAGCTGCCTTTGAGGCCTATTCTCTGAACTAGTGGATAGAGCACTGGACTGGGAGTCAGGAGACCTGGGTTTTACACCTAGGCTCTGCCATTGGCCTGCTGCAGGAGTCACATCAGATATGTGCCTCAGTTTCTGCACCTGTAAAATGGTGGTCTTCCTGCGTAAGGCACTTTGAGATCTACTGATGTGAAGCAATGCATAAAAAAAGGATTATTCAATTCCTGGCTCTGCCACTGACTCACTATGTGACCTTGGGCAAGCCACCACCCTGGTCCCCCCTCCCACCCTTCGTCTGTCTTGCCTATTTAGACTGTGAAAATGCTGCACCCACTGAAGTCAACAGGAGTTTTTTGCTATGGACGTCAGTGGATCCAGGATTCCACCCTAAACTCTTTGGGGCAGTGATGGTCTCTCACATGGCCCTTGTTTGGGTGTTACTGAACTCCAACTAACCCAGCTTTGATCCACTGAGATCTCTCCTTGCCAATCCCTTTCTGGGACTATTTTGTCTGCCCAGTTTAAGTTGTACGCTGGGGCCCCTGGCTAATGGTTTCATTTTGTTTGTATTATTTATAACATCCCAGGTACAGTAGAACCTCAGAGTTACAAACACCCGGCGTTACGAACTGACCGGTGAACCACACACCTCGTTTGGAACTGGAAGTACGCAATCAGGCAGCAAAGCAAAATACAGCACTGTACTATTTTAAATGTAAACTACTAAAAAAATGAAGGGAAAGTTTAAAAAAAAAAAGACTTGACAAGTTAAGGAAACTGTTTCTGTGTTTGTTCCATTTAAATTAAGACGGTTAAAAGCAGGGGTTCTCAACCCTTTTTGTTCTGAGGCCCCCCTCAACATGCTATAAAAACTCCAGGGCTCAGCAGGGCTGGGGAGTGGGGAGGGAAAAATTCAGGGCTCCAGGCCAAGGGTGGGGCCATTGGGCATATGTATAGTTTGACTATTTGGCGGGGAGGGGGGCAAAGGCCGGCAGGGCTCAGGCCAGCTCCGCACCGCACAGTCCCAGGAAGGGAGCGCCACCCCCACCCCGACTCACCTCAGCAGGTGGCACCCACCTGTCTGGGGCTATGTGCTGGTGGCTGCTCCCCGAGGGCTCTGCCAGCCCCGGAGCCGGCTCCCCACCTGGGTAGCTCTGATTGGCTGCATGAGGGACTGGGAGCTGAGAAGCAGCCGCAACCCCAGGCCCCAGCAACAGACGGGGGAATGCCAGGGCTCCCCACTCCATAGCACCACCAGCCACAGGAGCAGCTGCCCTTCACTGTCTGGCTCTGGCTTCCCTCCTAGGATCTGGCCTGAGGGAGGGCGCTGAAGGAGGAGGAGGTTGGGGGCGTGGAGCTGCCCCCAGGACTGCCCCACTGTAGGTAAGGCACTGCAGTTTGGGGGGGCAACACCCGCATGTCCCCTCAATTCTGCCCATGGGCTCAGGGTTTCAGCCCCACGCTGCTCCCGGCTTCAGGGGAGAGGGGGGAAGGAGAGCTCAGAGTTCCAGCCCCGTGCTGTCCCCAGCTTCAGCCCCATGGGGGCGCCAGGGATGGGGCTTCAGCTACACACCGCTCCCAGTTTCAGCCCCACGGGGGGGTGCTGGGGCTCAGGGTTTCAGCAGTGGGGCCCCACAGCCCCCCGAAAGGGCTCATGGACCCCCAGGGGGCCACAGACCTGCAGTTGAGAACCGCTGGTCAAAAGCAGCATTTTTCTTCTGCATAGTAAAGTTTCAAAGCTGTATTAAGTCAGTGTTGAATTGTAACCTTTTGAAAGAACCAGAACGTTTTGTTCAGA